AACAGATGTGAGCTAAAGATAGTCCTGAACTCTCCACCAGCTGTGTGTGTATAACAGATGTGAGCTAAAGATAGTCCTGAACTCTCCACCAACTGCATGTGTCAGTGTGTATAACAGATGTTGGCTTAAGATAGTCCTGGACTCTCCACCAACTGTGTGTGTATAACAGATGTGGGCTAAAGATAGTCCTGGACTCTCCACCAACTGCGTTTGTCAGTGTGTATAACAGATGTTGGCTTAAGATAGTCCTGGACTCTCCACCAACTGTGTGTGTCAGTGTGTATAACAGATGTTGGCTTAAGATAGTCCTGGACTCTCCACCAACTGTGTGTGTCAGTGTGTATAACAGATGTTGGCTTAAGATAGTCCTGAACTCTCCACCAACTGTGTGTGTCAGTGTGTATAACAGATGTGAGCTAAAGATAGTCCTGAACTCTCCACCAACTGTGTGTGTCAGTGTGTATAACAGATGTGAGCTAAAGATAGTCCTGAACTCTCCACCAACTGCATGTGTCAGTGTGTATAACAGATGTGAGCTAAAGATAGTCCTGGACTCTCCACCAAGCTGTGTGTGTCAGTGTGTGTATGTGTATAACAGATGTGAGCTAAAGATAGTCCTGGACTCTCCACCAACTGTGTGTGTCAGTGTGTATAACAGATGTGAGCTAAAGATAGTCCTGAACTCTCCACCAACTGTGTGTGTCAGTGTGTATAACAGATGTGAGCTAAAGATAGTCCTGCACTGTGTGTCAGTGTGTATAACAGATGTGAGCTAAAGATAGTCCTGAACTCTCCACCAACTGCGTGTGTCAGTGTGTATAACAGATGTGAGCTAAAGATAGTCCTGGACTCTCCACCAACTGTGTGTGTCAGTGTGTATAACAGATGTTGGGCTAAAGATAGTCCTGGACTCTCCACCAACTGCGTGTGTCAGTGTGTATAACAGATGTGAGCTAAAGATAGTCCTGAACTCTCCACCAACTGCGTGTGTCAGTGTGTATAACAGATGTGAGCTAAAGATAGTCCTGAACTCTCCACCAACTGCATGTGTCAGTGTGTATAACAGATGTGAGCTAAAGATAGTCCTGGACTCTCCACCAACTGCGTGTGTCAGTGTGTATAACAGATGTGGGCTAAAGATAGTCCTGGACTCTCCACCAACTGCGTTTGTCAGTGTGTATAACAGATGTGAGCTAAAGATAGTCCTGAACTCTCCACCAACTGCATGTGTCAGTGTGTATAACAGATGTGAGCTAAAGATAGTCCTGAACTCTCCACCAACTGCATGTGTCAGTGTGTATAACAGATGTGGCTAAAGATAGTCCTGGACTCTCCACCAACTGTGTGTGTCAGTGTGTATAACAGATGTGAGCTAAAGATAGTCCTGAACTCTCCACCAACTGCGTGTGTCAGTGTGTATAACAGATGTGAGCTAAAGATAGTCCTGAACTCTCCACCAACTGCATGTGTCAGTGTGTATAACAGATGTTGGCTTAAGATAGTCCTGGACTCTCTACTAGCTGTGTGTGTCAGTGTGTATAACAGATGTGAGCTAAAGATAGTCCTGAACTCTCCACCAACTGCGTTTGTCAGTGTGTATAACAGATGTGAGCTAAAGATAGTCCTGAACTCTCCACCAACTGCATGTGTCAGTGTGTATAACAGATGTTGGCTAAGATAGTCCTGGACTCTCCACCACTGTGTGTGTCAGTGTGTATAACAGATGTGAGCTAAAGATAGTCCTGAACTCTCCACCAACTGCGTGTGTGTCAGTGTGTATAACAGATGTGAGCTAAAGATAGTCCTGGACTCTCCACCAACTGTGTGTGTCAGTGTGTATAACAGATGTTGGCTTAAGATAGTCCTGAACTCTCCACCAACTGTGTGTGTCAGTGTGTATAACAGATGTTGGCTTAAGATAGTCCTGGACTCTCCACCAACTGCGTTTGTCAGTGTGTATAACAGATGTTGGCTAAAGATAGTCCTGGACTCTCCACCAACTGCATGTGTCAGTGTGTATAACAGATGTTGGCTTAAGATAGTCCTGGACTCTCCACCAACTGCGTTTGTCAGTGTGTATAACAGATGTGGGCTAAAGATAGTCCTGAACTCTCCACCAACTGCATGTGTCAGTGTGTATAACAGATGTGAGCTAAAGATAGTCCTGAACTCTCCACCAACTGCATGTGTCAGTGTGTATAACAGATGTGAGCTAAAGATAGTCCTGAACTCTCTACTAGCTGTGTGTGTCAGTGTGTATAACAGATGTGAGCTAAAGATAGTCCTGGACTCTCTACTAGCTGTGTGTGTCAGTGTGTATAACAGATGTGAGCTAAAGATAGTCCTGGACTCTCCACCAACTGCATGTGTCAGTGTGTATAACAGATGTGAGCTAAAGATAGTCCTGAACTCTCCACCAGCTGTGTGTGTATAACAGATGTGAGCTAAAGATAGTCCTGGACTCTCCACCAACTGCGTTTGTCAGTGTGTATAACAGATGTGGGCTAAAGATAGTCCTGGACTCTCCACCAACTGCGTTTGTCAGTGTGTATAACAGATGTTGGCTTAAGATAGTCCTGGACTCTCCACCAACTGTGTGTGTCAGTGTGTATAACAGATGTTGGCTTAAGATAGTCCTGGACTCTCCACCAACTGTGTGTGTCAGTGTGTATAACAGATGTTGGCTTAAGATAGTCCTGAACTCTCCACCAACTGTGTGTGTCAGTGTGTATAACAGATGTGAGCTAAAGATAGTCCTGAACTCTCCACCAACTGCGTTTGTCAGTGTGTATAACAGATGTGAGCTAAAGATAGTCCTGAACTCTCCACCAACTGCGTGTGTCAGTGTGTATAACAGATGTGAGCTAAAGATAGTCCTGAACTCTCCACCAACTGCATGTGTCAGTGTGTATAACAGATGTTGGCTTAAGATAGTCCTGGACTCTCCACCAACTGTGTGTGTCAGTGTGTATAACAGATGTTGGCTTAAGATAGTCCTGGACTCTCCACCAACTGTGTGTGTCAGTGTGTATAACAGATGTTGGCTTAAGATAGTCCTGAACTCTCCACCAACTGTGTGTGTCAGTGTGTATAACAGATGTGAGCTAAAGATAGTCCTGAACTCTCCACCAACTGCATGTGTCAGTGTGTATAACAGATGTGAGCTAAAGATAGTCCTGAACTCTCCACCAACTGCGTTTGTCAGTGTGTATAACAGTTGTGGGCTTAAGATAGACCTGGACTCTCCACCAACTGCGTTTGTCAGTGTGTATAACAGATGTGAGCTAAAGATAGTCCTGAACTCTCCACCAACTGCGTTTGTCAGTGTGTATAACAGATGTGGGCTAAAGATAGTCCTGGACTCTCCACCAACTGCGTTTGTCAGTGTGTATAACAGATGTGAGCTAAAGATAGTCCTGAACTCTCCACCAGCTGTGTGTTTATAACAGATGTGAGCTAAAGATAGTCCTGGACTCTCCACCAACTGCGTTTGTCAGTGTGTATAACAGATGTGGGCTAAAGATAGTCCTGGACTCTCCACCAACTGCGTTTGTCAGTGTGTATAACAGATGTGGGCTTAAGATAGACCTGGACTCTCCACCAACTGTGTGTGTATAACAGATGTGGGCTTAAGATAGTCCTGGACTCTCCACCAACTGCGTTTGTCAGTGTGTATAACAGATGTGAGCTAAAGATAGACCTGAACTCTCCACCAACTGCGTTTGTCAGTGTGTATAACAGATGTTGGCTTAAGATAGTCCTGGACTCTCAACCAACTGCGTTTGTCAGTGTGTATAACAGATGTTGGCTTAAGATAGTCCTGGACTCTCCACCAACTGCGTTTGTCAGTGTGTATAACAGATGTTGGCTTAAGATAGTATCCTGGACTGGACTCTCCACCAACTGCGTTTGTCAGTGTGTATAACAGATGTTGGCTTAAGATAGACCTGGACTCTCCACCAACTGCGTTTGTCAGTGTGTATAACAGATGTTGGCTTAAGATAGACCTGGACTCTCCACCAACTGCGTTTGTCAGTGTGTATAACAGATGTTGGCTTAAGATAGTCCTGGACTCTCCACCAACTGCGTTTGTCAGTGTGTATAACAGATGTTGGCTTAAGATAGTCCTGGACTCTCCACCAACTGCGTTTGTCAGTGTGTATAACAGATGTTGGCTTAAGATAGTCCTGGACTCTCCACCAACTGCGTTTGTCAGTGTGTATAACAGATGTTGGCTTAAGATAGTCCTGGACTCTCCACCAACTGCGTTTGTCGGTGTGTATAACAGATGTTGGCTTAAGATAGACCTGGACTCTCCACCAACTGCATGTGTCAGTGTGTAAAACAGATGTGAGCTAAAGATAGACCTGAATGAACTCTTCACCAGCTGTGTGTGTATAACAAATGTGGGCTAAAGATAGTCCAGGACTCTCCACCAGCTGTGTGTGTATAACAGGTGTGGGCTAAAGATAGACCTGGATTCTCCACCAACTGTGTGTCAGTGTGTATAAATAACAGATGTCGGCTAAAGATAGTCCTGGACTCTCCGCTAGCTGTGTGTGTCCGTGTGTATAACATATGTGGGCTAAAGATAGTCCTGGACTCTCCAGCAGCTGTGTGTGTATAACAGATGTGGGCTAAAGATAGTCCTGGACTCTCCACCAGCTGTGTGTGTCAGTGTGTATAACAGAACCAGGGAATCAGACCTCCAGGGCAACCCAAAACTTGCTGGGAAGAGTGGACTAGATTGGAGCAAAGCCAAACAAGTAAACTACAGCTAGAGAAGTCTGGTGATCTCTGGCAGACGTCTGCACCCCAAGGCAGAAGAGGATAGACTAGGTGAGAGTCTCCATATGTAATCTGTGTGAGAAGACAGAGCACTTCCAAGGTGATCTGTGTGCAGTGCTGATCTTTTGAAACTAAACCAAGTAATCAAATAATAAGAATGAATCTCTTGGTTTGTGTGTTATTGAAATGTGCACCTGTGTAACCTCTGGCAGGAGGTGCCTGAACATATCCTCAACAACGTGACTGGACAGATCCGCCAGGTGCAAGCAGTACCAAAGAAGTTACAGGATTTTACACAGGAAGAGATTGACAGTTTCCCACGCTTGTTTCAGTTGTAAGTTAATTTATTGTTTATTTTATTATAGTAGGTCACAATTTCTGGTCACCTTTTGTTATCTGTCATCTCTGATAGTCACAATTTCTGGTCACCTTTTGTTGCTATCTGTCATCTCTGATAGTCACAATTTCTGGTCACCTTTTGTTATCTGTCATCTCTGATAGTCACAGTTTCTGGTCACCTTTTGTTGCTATCTGTCATCTCTGATAGTCACAGTTTCTGGTCACCTTTTGTTGTTATCTGTCATCTCTGATAGTCACAGTTTCTGGTTACCTTTTGTTATCTGTCATCTCTGATAGTCACAATTTCTGGTCACCTTTTGTTGTTATCTGTCATCTCTGATAGTCACAATTTCTGGTCACCTTTTGTTGTTATCTGTCATCTCTGATAGTCACAATTTCTGGTCACCTTTTGTTATCTGTCATCTCTGATAGTCACAGTTTCTGGTCACCTTTTGTTATCTGTCATCTCTGATAGCCACAATTTCTGGTCACCTTTTGTTGTTACCTGTCATCTCTGATAGCCACAATTTCTGGTCACCTTTTGTTACCTGTCATCTCTGATAGTCTCAGTTTCTGGTCACCTTTTGTTACCTGTCATCTCTGATAGTCACAGTTTCTGGTCACCTTTTGTTGTTACCTGTCATCTCTGATAGCCACAGTTTCTGGTCACCTTTTGTTATCTGTCATCTCTGATAGTCACAGTTTCTGGTCACCTTTTGTTGTTATCTGTCATCTCTGATAGTCAGTTTCTGGTCACCTTTTGTTGTTACCTGTCATCTCTGATAGTCACAATTTCTGGTCACCTTTTGTTATCTGTCATCTCTGATAGCCACAGTTTCTGGTCACCTTTTGTTATCTGTCATCTCTGATAGCCACAGTTTCTGGTCACCTTCTGTTACCTGTCATCTCTGATAGCCACAGTTTCTGGTCACCTTTTGTTACCTGTCATCTCTGATAGCCACAGTTTCTGGTCACCTTTTGTTGTTACCTGTCATCTCTGATAGCCACAGATACTGGTCACCTTTTGTTACCTGTCATCTCTGATAGCCACAGTTTCTGGTCACCTTTTGTTGTTATCTGTCATCTCTGATAGTCACAATTTCTGGTCACCTTTTGTTGTTATCTGTCATCTCTGATAGTCACAGTTTCTGGTCACCTTTTGTTGTTACCTGTCATCTCTGATAGTCACAATTTCTGGTCACCTTTTGTTATCTGTCATCTCTGATAGCCACAGTTTCTGGTCACCTTTTGTTACCTGTCATCTCTGATAGCCACAGTTTCTGGTCACCTTTTGTTATCTGTCATCTCTGATAGTCACAATTTCTGGTCACCTTTTGTTGTTATCTGTCATCTCTGATAGTCACAGTTTCTGGTCACCTTTTGTTGTTATCTGTCATCTCTGATAGTCACAATTTCTGGTAACCTTTTGTTATTTGTCATCATTCCCAGTCTGCATGTGGTACCTGTCATTATTCACTGTCTACTTTTGTTTGAACAAATGTTTTTATTCTGAACATGTTAGCCTCTTAGCCCTAATTGGGGAAGATAAAAGTGGAAAAGGGAATTGATCACTGCCACTTACAGCCTCCTGGCAGGGGAGAAGGGAATTGATCACTGCCACTCACAGCCTCCTGGCAGGGGAGAAGGGAATTGATCACTGCCACTCACAGCCCCCTAGCAGGGGAGACGGGAATTGATCACTGCCGCTTACAGCCCCTGGCAGGGGAGAAGGGAATTGATCACTGCCGCTCACAGCCCCTGGCAGTGGAGAAGGGAATTGATCACTGCCGCTCACAGCCCCTGGCAGGGTATTCCTGAAAATATCTCAGTTGTAAATATTAGACACTGTTGAGTTTGGCCACATCTGCATGAGGTCATTTGCCATAAGAGCCATTGCATTGTAGACCTAACCAGGGTTGTACACATTTCCTTTCACAGGCCTGAGGACTACAATATTGAGTCCCACAGACGACCCAACCAAGCAGAACCTGATCAGCACACACTCAAGAAGTTGAGAATACACTAGAGGATACTTATAAATGTCATTCATGTTTAGTTTGACTGAGGAAAAAAGTGAATGTTTCATCACAGTTGCATTGTTTGCTTCTTTTTTTTTAAATTTTAGTTTGTTGTGTGAGATCACATGTGTGTGGATGATGTGAATTTAATTTGTGAGCTACCAGTTCTTACAGACAATTTATTGTGTCAAAATGATTGTATTGTTTACACATGAGTTATGGCTCAAGTAGATTTACACAATACAGATGGAGACTGATCAAGTATTTACATTTGTTTTAAGTTTGGCTGTGTGTGTGAGTGAACATTTGGTGTTCAGGAGTGTTGTTCATTTGTGTGTTCTCTGTTACAACCAGGTGTGGTGTATGTTTTATGTTTCTTTCCATTTCTTTGATATTCTAAGTTGTCACTGTCCTTTCATGAACTTGCTGCATTCTGATGTCTGTCCCATTCATGTCTGCATGCATAGTTGCCTCATGACCTTTAACACAGTGACAACTGTCACCACAGGACAGCTTCACACTCTGCCAGTTGCCCAAGTACCTAGATTCTTGTTTCGAGAAAATCGCTTTCAAGCATTGAGTTCAAATATATATTGTGTAAAGTAAATCCATTTACCACAGGGACATCGGAAACTGAAATATTTTGGCAATATGAAGCACAATGGTGGACTGGAAAATATAATGGCAAAAGTCAGGGGCAGAGGCTGACCAGTATGATAATGGAAATACTATGCATGTGACCCTTGCGTAGAAAAGCTGGCAGGAGACTTGAGTTCCTTCCTTTCATGCATGCTAAGGCTAGATGCTCGCATGCGGATCGTAAGTTCGCTCCCTGGCGAAGCCAGACTTTTTTCATAAATGGCTTCTAGGTCGACCCAGCCTTAAGTGGGTACCAGGTGCGGTTCTGGGAAGTAAAGGTGGCTGGTGCGATGCTGACCACATCACCCATCTTGTGCCACTGGTCTATAAATTATAGATCTAGCCCTATATACCCAATACGCGTGGAAAAGGGTCCTTCACTTTTTTTTTCTGTTTGGTCAAGTGAGGTATAGCTTTATATCTCTTGCAATATTTTAGTCCTGGTGATTTCTGTGTCCCTTGTGCCATCTTCTCCCACTGTTTGGTCAAGTGAGGTATAGCTTTATACCTCTTGCAATATTTCAGTCCTGGTGATTTCTGTGTCACTTGTACCATCTTCTCCCACTGTTTGGTCAAGTGAGGTATAGCTTTATACCTCTTGCAATATTTCAGTCCTGGTGATTTCTGTGTCACTTGTGCCATCTTCTCCCACTGTATGGTTGAGTGAGGTATAGCTTTATATCTCTTGCAATATTTCAGTCCTGGTGATTTCTGTGTCACTTGTGCCATCTTCTCCCACTGTATGGTTGAGTGAGGTATAGCTTTATACCTCTTGCAATATTTCAGTCCTGGTGATTTCTGTGTCACTTGTGCCATCTTCTCCCACTGTATGGTTGAGTGAGGTATAGCTTTATATCTCTTGCAATATTTCAGTCCTGGTGATTTCTGTGTCACTTGTGCCATCTTCTCCCACTGTATGGTTGAGTGAGGTATAGCTTTATACCTCTTGCAATATTTCAGTCCTGGTGATTTCTGTGTCACTTGTGCCATCTTCTCCCACTGTATGGTTGAGTGAGGTATAGCTTTATACCTCTTGCAATATTTCAGTCCTGGTGATTTGTGTGTCACTTGTGCCATCTTCTCCCACTGTATGGTTGAGTGAGGTATAGCTTTATACCTCTTGCAATATTTCAGTCCTGGTGATTTCTGTGTCACTTGTACCATCTTCTCCCACTGTATGGTTGAGTTAGATATAGCTTCATTGCTCTTCTCCGACTGTTGGACTGTCATGTTTTCTAAGGACATCGTTAAGTCTGGGACGGCCAAAAAGTATGTGGACAGTTTCTTGCCATAGTAACCAACAAATATACTGGTAACTTATGCCAGGAACATCACAAAGATGTTAGTTTGGTAGACTAATGCAACGCTGTGTAACTATATTATTCTGCCAATAGAAGACCAACAAGGCAATGTTAAAGGACATTTTAATTACAAAAACTAAGGCCTCAAAGGTGCCAGACCTAACCTGGCCCTCATCTCATTTGCTTCTCGGATTTCCTGGTCTGTGGAGCTCCTACTCTTCTCCTTCCTCTCCTCTTTGGCCCGATCTCTTCTGTCATCTCTGTGGCTCTTCTGGTCCTTGTCTTTCTCTCTGTGGTGGCGGTCTTTGCCTCCGTGACGGCTGCGGTGTCGCTCTCTTTCCCCATCACGGTCGTGGCGACTTTTCTTACTAGATCGCTTGTGGCGATCCTCATCTCTATGTTTGTGCTCTGTAGAAAATAAAAATAATTGTGCCATAACTTTGTTCATTTTAACGCAACACCTCAATGTTATAGCTTGTCTGTATTACCGTGACCAACCCAAGAAGCTAACTAGTAACACTGCGTCCTACCAGGCATGTTGTAACAGCAGACTAAGGGTGGAGTTGCAGAACACTGTGGCCAGAAAAACCAACCAACTAAAAATGGACAGAACAACCTGGTATACACTGATTTAGGGCCTATGTTCCATTGGGGGGATAAATGGCAGAGAAAGAAGATCATAGGTTTGGTAACCTGCGCCTGGATGGCAGTTGACTGATTGGTGTATTGGTAAGCTTAATGGTTCTATGACTTTACCCTGGCACCCCCTTTCTCCACACACACACAATGACACTTGTACACAGACAGAAACCTTGCAAGTTTGTGGGAGACACTCAGGTGCACACAAAACTAAATCCTACCACACAAGATGATATTAGCTAAACAAAAGCAGCTCAACCAATGTTTCATGTGGACAATAACATGAAGGATTCTGCTACATGCAACACACCTTTCTTCCACTGACAGGTTATAGACACAACTGGCTGTCCTGTTTGCCGTTCTGTTGTTACTGCTACCTGTAAAAGTCACCAGACCACACACCAGTTTCATCTTCACTGCCACATGTACACCTGGTTGTAAGCTGAGTCACCTGGCCTTACATCACTGTTACTGAGGATCACTAACCCACTGTTTGTTCACACCTACTGTGTGTTAAGGCCCTGCGAATTTATAAAACATGGCTTCCACAGCATTTTTGTACCGACAGTCATTACTTGCCCCTGAAAGTGACATTGCTGGATGTTTTCGACTCTGTTGTCTCCACAATTAAACATACTACCGAGAACAATTTATTAGATGAACCAAGACGATGAAGTGAAAAGGCGGTAGGTAGAGGGACAGTAATATCAATATTATCACCCTTTATGTTCCAGTCAAACAGAATATGCCGACAATATTTTCAGCTGGTACTTGGAGTTACATAAGACATTTCTGCCACAGAATACCAGACACAAGTAAGGATGCTACTGACAAAAACAAACAATCAGTGCAACATATTTTCTTTGTTACAAAAAAAAAATCATCATTCTGCTTTCTGTGTACAGCATCCGAATGCTGGAACGAATTACAATTATTTACATTAATTGTAATCAGAAAAGTAGTTTTGAGAATATGAGTTAGTTATTCGCCATATGAGCCCAGTTAGGGAACAAATCAAATTCATATCTGGTTGTTGTTGTTGTTATCGATCCAGCGGCGCATGAGCTTTCGCCCTTTGGCCCAATGCCATGTAGTGGAATTTGCATGTTTTCACAAGCTGTTCTTTTCCTCCGTACAAGGTGTTCCACTTGTCTGGTCTCGGAGGGAGTAGCGTTCTTCTTGTCTCACTGAGTTTTGGGCACTCAAAGAGATGGTGTTCAACAGTTTCGTAGGGGTAGTTACATAGCTGGCACTCTGGGGAGTGTTGTGGCTGTATTCTGTTTAGGTGTCCATTGAGTGGAGTATGTTGCGTTCTAAGTCTGAAGATGGTGGCCTGGTCCCTTCTTGTTAGATGGTTAATGCTGTCATTAGGATCAGGGCCAGACATATGTCTATAAACCTCTCTTCCAGTGTCTCCCATGGCCCATCTGTTCAACCAAGTCTCTTTGTTTATAGCTCTTATCAGTGTTTTTGCTGTCTGGAGGGTTGTCGCTGTAGGTGGTTGTTCTTGTGTTGCTCCTTTCTTTGCCAATCTGTCAGCTCTGTCATTACCTGGTGTGCCGGAGTGACCTGGAATCCACTGCATCACTATTCTGATGTTGTATGAGGTAATAAGATGATCGGCATCCAGGATTATCTTGGCTATGTCAGTTCTGCAGCGTTCATTGCCCTCCAGAGCTTGAAGGGCAGACATTGAATCTGTGAAGATGACAATATTTTGGAGGTTCTATATCTGTATGCCTGCAATAATTTGGTGACGACATAACTACAACCAGGTGTGAAATCTTCAACGCTTCCCAGTTTTTCACTCAAAAAATATCTGTAGGCATTCTGTTATTTACTAGAGGAAGGAACTCACCCATTACCTGCCCCATGGAAGAGCCCCAACCTGTGAGGACAACATCTAGCAGCTCATTTCCACACTTCCTTCCGCAGCTGCCCTTACACGAGATGGTTGCCATTTTGTGCCAGATCTGCACTGCTGGTCCACCAACATCTCTTAAATCGGTCAACCCGATTTTACTTGCATTCTACGATAAGCCTGTTGGGGTCAGCAGGCCTGTTACCTCTGTTGGGGTCAGCGGGCCTGTTACGTATGCTGGGGTCAGCGGGCCTGTTACGTATGCTGGGGTCAGCGGGCCTGTTACGTATGCTGGGGTCAGCGGGCCTGTTACTTCTGTTGGGGTCAGCGGGCCTGTTACCTCTGTTGGGATCAGCGGGCCTGTTACCTCTGTTGGGGTCAGCAGGCCTGTTACGTCTGTTAGGGTCAGCAGGCCTGTTACCTCTGTTGGGGTCAGCAGGCCTGTTACCTCTGTTGGGGTCAGCAGGCCTGTTACGTCTGCTGGGCTCAGCGGGCCTGTTAACTCTGTTGGGGTCAGCGGGCCTGTTAACTCTGTTGGGGTCAGCAGGCCTGTTACGTCTGTTGGGGTCAGCAGGCCTGTTATGTCTGTTGGGGTCAGTAGGCCTGTTACGTCTGTTGGGGTCAGCAGGCCTGTTACGTCTGTTGGGGTCAGCAGGCCTGTTACGTCTGTTGGGGTCAGCGGGCCTGTTCTTGTTTCCCATGCTGGGAGGATGTCCACATTAGGGTATCATGAAAACTGTGTCAAGGCTCACCTTTACAAGCAATCACAACCAACAAAAAGTGTGAAGAGTATGAGTGTCAAGTGATGGACAGAATATTGCAACTAGATAGCCTTCATCAGCACACACACACACACAAAAACATTTTTTTTTAAAAAGCAACATTCAGACACTGCAAAATGCTAAAAACTGGTATGCAACTCAAATAGGTAGACACATGTCTTTCCCCGCAGAACAAAAATGTGATGCATATGTCATCTTCTCTGACTCCAGTTCAACACATTTAATCTGCTGTGATAGGAGCAGCTACGAACAAGCAGACACACTGATAGAAACACAAGCTTATTTACCTGGAGACCTGTGCCGCTTCTCTGCCCTTTCACGTGACCTTGACCTCCTTTTGCCTGGACTTCTGTGGCGTTTGGATTCTCTGGAAGAAAAAAAAGCTCATATGTTTCTGTTACAACTCTTGTGGAGCAACGCTTTTCCACTCTCTCTAGTTGCCTCACTCAAGGGGGGGGGGGGGGGGGGGTCTTTTATGTACACTTTCTATTGCGCAGCATAAACTGATCTTCAACTCTTTCGGTACAAGGAAAGCTTCACCAAAAACTGACCTTAGGTACCAAAAGAGTTAGGTCTGTTCTTGATGCTATTGTTTTGTGTGGTCCTCCTCTTGCTCTGTGTTTATTCAATTTCTCCAGCGTGCCAGGGCGTTCTCATCAGATGGCCAAACCATCTCATCTGTTGCTCTTTAATGAAGTGTATGACTACTTTAGGGCTTTTCCTGAGCAAACCAAATTTGTTTCTTAAATAAAATAAACCTACCATATCAGCTTAAAATGATCAGATTTGTGCTGGAGAAAAATGACTTACTTCCTGTGGGGACTTGTGGGCCGCCTGGTGTGAGAAGGTGAAGGTCTCTTGGGCTTTCTTTCTGGGGGAGGTGCAGCTTTCTTCAGCTCCTGGAATAAACAGCCAATCACATCTGTCACTACAGGATAATTTACCATCTGTCACTGCCGGACAACTGACCATCTGTCACTACAGGATAACACCATCTGTCACTGCAGGACAACTGACCATCTGTCACTACAGGACAACTGACCATCTGTCACTACAGGACAATTGACCATCTGTCACTACAGGACAATTGACCATCTGTCACTACAGGGCAACTGACCATCTGTCACTACAGGACAACTGACCATCTGTCACTACAGGACAACTGATTATCTGTCACTACAGGACAACTGACCATCTGTCACTACAGGACAACTGACCATCTGTCACTACAGGACAACTGACCATCTGTCACCACAGGACAACTGACCATCTGTCACCACAGGACAACTGACCATCTGTCACTACAGGACAACTGACCATCTGTCACTACAGGACAATTGACCATCTGTCACTACAGGACAATTGACCATCTGTCACTACAGGACAACTGACCATCTGTCACTACAGGACAATTGACCATCTGTCACTACAGGACAATTGACCATCTGTCACTACAGGACAACTGACCATCTGTCACTACAGGACAACTGACCATCTGTCACTACAGGACAACTGACCATCTGTCACTACAGGGCAACTGACCATCTGTCACTACAGGACAATTGACCATCTGTCACTACAGGACAACTGACCATCTGTCACTACAGGACAACTGACCATCTGTCACTACAGGACAACTGACCATCTGTCACTACAGGACAACTGACCATCTGTCACTACAGGACAACTGACCATCTGTCACTACAGGACAACTGACCATCTGTCACTACAGGACAACTGACCATCTGTCACTACAGGACAATTGACCATCTGTCACTACAGGACAACTGACCATCTGTCACTACAGGACAATTGACCATCTGTCACTACAGGACACGTGACCATCTGTCACTACAGGACAACTGACCATCTGTCACTACAGGACACGTGACCATCTGTCACTACAGGACAACGTGGGGAATATATAACTTCCTGACCATCTGAGCAATAATGCTCAAATGTGTCACTGAGATCTGGATACAATGTCGATCATCAAACATGTCAATCAAAACAGGACATCATGTAACTACTTTTCAAATGTCTTATTCGAAACAGGAAATAGTGCACAATTACCAACAACTGTGTCATGTGATTGCCAATTCTGGCTCAAGCGGTACTGAACCACACACGTGCTGGTGGTGACTGTCTCAGTGGCCAGACATGGAGCACACACGTGCTGGTGGTGACTGTCTCAGTGGTCAGACATGAAGCACACACGTGCTGGTGGTGACTGTCTCAGTGGCCAGACCTAAACCACACATGTGCTGGTGGTGACTGTCTCAGTGGCCAGACCTAAACCACACACGTGCTGGTGGTGACTGTCTCAGTGGCCAGACCTAAACCACACATGTGCTGGTGCTGACTGTCTCAGTGGCGAGACCTAAACCACACATGTGCTGGTGGTGACTGCCTTGTGGCCAGACCTAAACCACACATGTGCTGGTGGTGACTGTCTCAGTGGCCAGACCTAAACCACACATGTGCTGGTGGTGACTGTCTCAGTGGCCAGACCTAAACCACACACGTGCTGGTGGTGACTGTCTCAGTGGCCAGACCTTAACCACACATGTGCTGGTGGTGACTGTCTCAGTGGCCAGACCTAAACCACACACGTGCTGGTGGTGACTGTCTCAGTGGCCAGACCTAAACCACACATGTGCTGGTCGTGACTGTCTCAGTGGCCAGACCTAAACCACACACGTGCTGGTGGTGACTGTCTCAGTGGCCAGACCTAAACCACACACGTGCTGGTGGTGACTGTCTCAGTGGCCAGACATGGAGCACACACGTGCTGGTGGTGACTGTCTCAGTGGCCAGACATGGAGCACACATGTGCTGGTGGTGACTGTCTCAGTGGCCAGACATGGAGCACACACGTGCTGGTGGTGACTGTCTCAGTGGCCAGACATGGAGCACACATGTGCTGGTGGTGACTGTCTCAGTGGCCAGACATGGAGCACACACGTGCTGGTGGTGACTGTCTCAGTGGCCAGACCTAAACTACACATGTGCTGGTGGTGACTGTCTCAGTGGCCAGACATAAACCACACATGTGCTGGTGGTGACTGTCTCAGTGGCCAGACCTAAACTACACATGTGCTGGTGGTGACTGTCTCAGTGGCCAGACATGGAGCACACATGTGCTGGTGGTGACTGTCTCAGTGGCCAGACATAAACCACACATGTGCTGGTGGTGACTGTCTCAGTGGCCAGACCTAAACTACACATGTGCTGGTGGTGACTGTCTCAGTGGCCAGACACCAATAGTCTGCCTGTAAGTCAGATCTGAAATGATGCTTCTCTTCTCCTCCCTTTCCCAATAATTTTGTCAGGGAGCTCAGATATAAGATGGCCCTTTTAACCGTGTATAGATATTGCAAAGTATTTTTTTTTAAACATTTCATATGATTTCACATATTAAATTTATTTTCTAGTCGGCACATTAATATTATTATTGTAACAATGTTGCATGACTAATAAATATGATAACTAACTGAACAAATATGAAATGTATAAACAGTTTTTAAAGATAATATCTGCACATGGTTAAAGAGGCCATCTTAGCTCCATTGCAAAAGTATTGGGGACAGGGAGAGTTCAAGAGATCTGAGCTGCCAGGTCCCAACACCTATGGAACAGAGAGCAGTAAGAAAGACATAATGTGTGGGAGAGAGAGAAAGCTGAAAGACATAATGTGTGGAAGAGAGAAAGCTGAAAGATGTGTGGGAGAGAGAGAAAACTGAGAGACATAATGTGTGGAAGAGAAAGCTGAAAGACATAATGTGTGGGAGAGAGAGAGATCAAGCTATGTCAGCAGAATTCATAAAAACACTCACTTTAGCAAAATCGTCCTCCTCCTGCTCCGACTCGACGTCTTCAATGTCTTCCTCTATGGCACTGACTCTTGGTTCTAGGACATTGGTCTCCTCCAACACATGACGCTTCTGCAAGTGACACATCATCAACATTACACATATGTCAATCATCAACAGACAAAGAACTGTACTACGTATGGGTTTTTGTGCCCTTTTGTGAGGGCACAAAGAAACCCACTCTCCCATCTGGGGCCCCAGGCATGTTGTAATAGTCAAATAAATACTAAACAGGGGTGCTTTCTTCAAAGCCGGAGTGTATCTGCCTGAGCGGCAAGGGACCAACAGTCTGCCTGCAAATCAGTCAAATTGGTAGAGTTCTGGACCAATAATAAAGTGCAGACGTGGACAAACAACCAAGACTTCCCGCTGGAGTTTACAGCTGCTGAACACAGGGAATACACAGAACATCCTTCAGTCTACTGCTCACTGTGTAACATACATGACAGATCAAAGTTCAGTCTACTGCTCACTGTGTAACATACATGATAGACCAAAGTTCAGTCTACTGCTCACTGTGTAACATACATAATAGACCAAAGTTCAGTCTACTGCTCACTGTGTAACATACATGATAGATCAAAGTTCAGTCTACTGCTCACTGTGTAACATACATGACAGACCAAAGTTCAGTCTACTGCTCACTGTGTAACATACATGATAGACCAAAGTTCAGTCTACTGCTCACTGTGTAACATACATGATAGATGAAAGTTCAGTCTACTGCTCACTGTGTAACATACATGATAGATCAAAGTTCAGTCTACTGCTCACTGTGTAACATACATGATAGACCAAAGTTCAGTCTACTGCTCACTGTGTAACATACATGATAGACCAAAGTTCAGTCTACTGCTCACTGTGTAACATACATGATAGATCAAAGTTCAGTCTACTGCTCACTGTCTAACATACATGACAGACCAAAGTTCAGTCTACTGCTCACTGTGTAACATACATGATAGATCAAAGTTCAGTCTACTGCTCACTGTGTAACATACATGACAGATCAAAGTTCAGTCTACTGCTCACTGTGTAACATACATGACAGACCAAAGTTCAGTCTACTGCTCACTGTGTAACATACATGATAGATCAAAGTTCAGTCTACTGCTCACTGTGTAACATAAATGATAGATCAAAGTTCAGTCTACTGCTCACTGTCTAACATACATGACAGATCAAAGTTCAGTCTACTGCTCACTGTGTAACATACATGACAGACCAAAGTTCAGTCTACTGCTCACTGTGTAACATAAATGACAGACCAAAGTTCAGTCTACTGCTCACTGTGTAACATACATGATAGATCAAAGTTCAGTCTACTGCTCACTGTGTAACATACATGACAGACCAAAGTTCAGTCTACTGCTCACTGTGTAACATACATGATAGATCAAAGTTCAGTCTACTGCTCACTGTGTAACATACATGACAGACCAAAGTTCAGTCTACTGCTCACTGTGTAACATACATGATAGATCAAAGTTCAGTCTACTGCTCACTGTGTAACATACATGATAGACCAAAGTTCAGTCTACTGCTCACTGTGTAACATACATGATAGACCAAAGTTCAGTCTACTGCTCACTGTGTAACATACATGATAGATGAAAGTTCAGTCTACTGCTCACTGTGTAACATACATGATAGATCAAAGTTCAGTCTACTGCTCACTGTGTAACATACATGATAGATCAAAGTTCAGTCTACTGCTCACTGTGTAACATACATGATAGATCAAAGTTCAGTCTACTGCTCACTGTGTAACATACATGATAGATCAAAGCAAAATATTACAAAGTCCTAAAAGACAGGATGTGAGATGAACATGATGAGATAAAGAAGACAGAAGAAAGACAATACATAAAGAAGGCTCTGTGACACAGATACTGACAAACAATACCTTAGACATGTCACTGTCAAATTAAATAACAGAGTTTTAATCACCCTGCAGTTAAATATATGAAGGTAAAGACATGATAAAGTACAAGAATACAACTTCTGTTATTCACAGATAATGACAAACACAAATACCTATCAAGTCCTGGTCAATTGACACATTTTACCTTTAATTACGCCATAATTCAATATTTATAAAAACAAGAGAAAGGAAAGATGAGAAAGCATACGTCATGATCAGACAATACAATGCAACACAAGAAAACATAAGAAGATGACATGGTGAGACAGGATCAGACACAGTAGATCAGACGCATGGTCACACAAGAGAACACAGGGACAGTGCTGTCAGTTGTACCTGTATTCTAGGCAGGATGATGTCACAGACCCTCTCCTCCCTCAGCAGCTCATCAATGAACTCATCCATGTGGACAATGTGGAAAGCTGCAAGAGATAAGAAAATGATTCAAGGACAAGAAAATGATTTAAGTACAAGATAATGGTCCAAGTACAAGATGCTACAGCAGGCAGACACACAGCACACACACCCATCACTGTGTGTCTTGCCATGTGGTGCAGACACCCATAACTGTGTGTCTTGCCATGTGGTGCAGACACACAGCACACACACCCATCACTGTGTGTCTTGCCATGTGGTGCAGACACACAGCACACACACCCATCACTGTGTGTCTTGCCATGTGGTGCAGACACCCATCACTGTGTGTCTTGCCATGTGGTGCAGACACACAGCACACACACCCATCACTGTGTGTCTTGCCATGTGGTGCAGACACCCATCACTGTGTGACTTGCCATGTGGTGCAGACACCCATCACTGTGTGTCTTGCCATGTGGTGCAGACACACAGCACACACACCCATCACCGTGTGTCTTGCCATGTGGTGCAGACACACAGCACACACACCCATCACTGTGTGTCTTGCCATGTGGTGCAGACACACAGCACACACACCCATCACTGTGTGTCTTGCCATGTGGTGCAGACACACAGCACACACACCTATCACTGTGTGTCTTGCCATGTGGTGCAGACACACAGCACACACACCCATCACTGTGTGTCTTGCCATGTGGTGCAGACACACAGCACACACACCCATCACCGTGTGTCTTGCCATGTGGTGCAGACACACAGCACACACACCCATCACTGTGTGTCTTGCCATGTGGTGCAGACACACAGCACACACACCTATCACTGTGTGTCTTGCCATGTGGTGCAGACACACAGCACACACACACCTATCACTGTGTGTCTTGCCATGTGGTGCAGACACACAGCACACACACCCATCACTGTGTGTCTTGCCATGTGGTGCAGACACACAGCACACACACCCATCACTGTGTGACTTGCCATGTGGTGCAGACACACAGCACACACACCCATCACTGTGTGTCTTGCCATGTGGTGCAGACACACAGCACACACACCCATCACTGTGTGTCTTGCCATGTGGTGTAGTCACTGACATCTGTGCACAGATTCCCATCTTTAGTGGTCCTCAGGTGCCAGGTGGACCCAACCTTGAATGGGTCCAATGTCAACCCAACCTTAAATGGGTCTAATGTCAACCCAGCCTTGAATGGGTTTAATGTCAACCCAGCCTTGAATGGGTCTAATGTCAACCCAGCCTTGAATGGCTCTAATCTCAACCCAGCCTTGAATGGGTCTAATGTCAACCCAGCCTTGAATGGGTCTAATGTCAACCCAGCCTTGAATGGGTACCAAACTGACCCAGCCTTGAATGGGTACCAAACTGACCCAGCCTTGAATGGGTACCAAACTGACCCAGCCTTGAATGGGTACCAGGTTGACCCAGCCTTGAATGGGTACCAGGTTGACCCAGCCTTGAATGGGTCTAATGTCAACCCAGCCTTGAATGGGTACCAGGTTGACCCAGCCTTGAATGGGTCTAATGTCAACCCAGCCTGAATGGGTCTAATGTCAACCCAGCCTTGAATGGGTCTAATGTCAACCCAGCCTTGAATGGGTACCAGGTTGACCCAGCCTTGAATGGTTACCAGGCTGACCCAGACTTGAATGGGTCCAAGTTCAACCCAACCTTGAATGGGTACCAGGTGGACCCAGCCTTGAATGGGTACCAGGTTGACCCAGCCTTGAATGGGTCCAAGGTCAACCCAGCCTTGAATGGGTACCAGATGGACCCAGCCTTGACCCAGGTGGACCCAGCCTTGACCCAGGTGGACCCAGCCTTGACCCAGCCTTGACCCAGGTGGACCCAGCCTTGACCCAGGTGGACCCAGTCCTGGGAAGTAAAGAGGGAGACAAGCATGATGTTGACCACATCACTCACCAAATGCTGACTGGTCTAAACAAAAGAAAGGTCTAGCCCTATATGCCCAATACACTGAAGGCGTAAAAAAGGGTCCTTTACTTTACACACACACACACGCATATATATCAAATGTGCTGAATTGCAATACATACACACACACATACACATATATCAAATGTGCTGAATTGCAATACATACACACACACACATATATCAAATGTGCTGAATTGCAATACATACACACACACACATATATCAAATGTGCTGAATTGCAATACATACACACACACACACGCACACATATATCAAATGTGCTGAATTGCAACACACACACACACACACACATATATCAAATGTGCTGAATTGCAATACATACACACACACACATATATCAAATGTGCTGAATTGCAATACATACATACACACACACACACATATATCAAATGTGCTGAATTGCAATACATACACACACACACACATATATCAAATGTGCTGAATTGCAATACATACACACACACACGCACACATATATCAAATGTGCTGAATTGCAACACACACACACACACACACACACATATATCAAATGTGCTGAATTGCAATACATACACACACACACATATATCAAATGTGCTGAATTGCAATACATACACACACACACACACACATATCAAATGTGCTGAATTGCAATACATACACACACACACACACATATATATATCAAATGTGCTGAATTGCAATACATACACACACACACACACATATCAAATGTGTTGAATTGCAATACATACACACACACATATATCAAATGTGCTGAATTGCAATACATACACACACACACATATATATCAAATGTGCTGAATTGCAATACATACACACATACATCAAATGTGCTGAATTGCAATACATACACACACACATATATATCAAATGTGCTGAATTGCAATACATACATACACACACACACACACACACATATATATCAAATGTGCTGAATAGCAATACATACACACACACACACACACACATATATATCAAATGTGCTGAATTGCAATACATACACACACACACATATATCAAATGTGCTGAATTGCAATACATACACACACACACACATATATCAAATGTGCTGAATTGCAATACATACACACACACACATATATCAAATGTGCTGAATTGCAATACATACACACACACACACACATATCAAATGTGCTGAATTGCAATACATACACACACACACACACATATATCTCAAATGTGCTGAATTGCAATACATACACACACACACACACACATATATCAAATGTGCTGAATTGCAATACACACACACACACATATATAAGGGAGGGGAGGCGGGGGGGGGGGGAGGCAGGAGGGGGAGTAATCTTAAATTCTCAAAGACATATTTGACATGACTGGATAGGTGTTGGTGCACTTAATCATCTTACAATTTGGAAGGTGAAATAATGGTGTGCTTAAAGGGGCTTTAAGCTACCGATGCATGTGCTGATTGGTCTCACCCCCCACCCCCCCCCCCTCCAGTAAGAGACCAGTGCTATTGTGAAATAAGGCTAACATAAAAAGAAAACACTGCAAGGAAGCAGAAATATTTATTCAACCTACCGCCATTTCTATCCATACGCTTGAGTTTTCTGTAGTCATAGTACAGAGGTTCCAGATATTTGTAACAGTCGGTGGATGTGCCTGTCAGCCGCATGTAAATGGCTCCCAGTGCTCTCACGTACCTGCAGACGGACAATGATCAAATCAAGCTACAGTATATGCTATTCTTTACAACATACATTTACGTAACAGGTTTTTTCGTGTGTGCAAGATCACCCCCCAAAAAAAAAAAAAAAGACAGGTGAAAAACATCTGACAGAAAACAGACAATAAAGAATACATGACATACAATAGATGGAAGATGCAACAGATTGATCTATACTAAAAATCACAAACCCTTTCTGTATTTGGTGTGTTTATTTTAAATGAGATGTCAACTCCTCCAAAATTGTGACCAATACATAGGTTAAATCTGCATTTACCACTATGACTTCAATATTTAATTTAACAATCCCATTCGTGGCCCAGGTTTGTGTGCATTTCTTTAGTTATTGCAATAATCAGTCAAAGTAAACTTGTGCTAGAATTATATCTCTGAATATTTTTTTCCTTTTTGAAAAGGTAATTTTTAAACAAAATATATTTTGTTGTTATCTTCCATGAAAGCACTTATCTATATGTGTCTGAGACAAACATCTGACAGTCTCTCAAACACTGGTGATGGTATTACAGCGGATGCCCTGGGTGCACTTACAGGCAATGACTAAAGATACGTCAGGATAATGAATGTAGGATTTTATTTCAAGTAGGCCTAAATATAGGGCAGCCGTAGAGACCAAGATGAAGTCAAGGATGGGAAATTACAATTTTCTTTCACTATACCGGGTGAAGCCGGGCAATTTAATCTAGTAATGTACAAAAGAAACATCAGACAAATGGCCCACACACACACACACACAAACAGGTCACTGATAACTGACAGAAAACATACAACATGTGAATGACAGAAAACAGACAATATATAGAAAACATACAACATGTGAATGACAGACAACTGGCAGAAAACATACAACAAGTGAATGACAGACAATAGTTTAGAAAAGACTGTAAAAACCTAAATTATATGTCAGGTCCAATTACAATAGAGAAGCACAGGATCCTGTAGTGACAAAGCCTTCATCAGCCAAATAATAATGAGAAACAAAATTTAACACATGCACAAATAAACTGACTCTGAAATTACTATATTACACTGTCAAATATGTAAACAATCGAAATAAAATAATAATAAATAATTAAATTAATAATAAATAAAGTGATAATTATACGGACCTCTCTGAATTTTATAAAGTAAAGAAATGAAGCAAGTTTCACACTTGTAGATGAATGGGGAAGTGGTTAGTGAAATATAATCAGTGGGAGTGCAGAATTTAGGGGGGTGGGGGGTTAACCCACAGACTATCACGGACATCAGTTTATATGGTTGGCCAATAGTTTAACTTGGCTACTTCAATGGCACCCCCTGGGATCACTGTAAAATCACAAGTTGCGTGACCGAGGTAGCTTGAAGCTGTTAGCTCATTCACTTCTCTAGGTTTCTTTAATATTCATGGGTGAAGACAGAGAACAAAACAGGAAGAGACAGGAATTTCTCTTCTTCTTCATTCATCGGCTGTAGGCTGCGGTAGAAAGTCCTGGTAGTTCGACCTTTTGGACTTTGGCTTTGTGGCTTGTCATGAGTTTTGCGTGTACATCAGTTTTACTGGCTTATTTGTGTGCAGCTGGTTGTTCCTAGCCGCACGAGCAGATGTACTCCGACTCCTAAAACACGCTTACTCTTGTCGTGGAGGCAGTGAGTGTATTCTTGGTCCCCCTCCCCCCTTTCCACAATCGGGTCCCAAAACCCAGACAGGTGAGAAAAGGAATTTAACGGGTTAGTACTCTGCAGGCACAGGGAACGGAGTCAATGTACAGAGAAAGAGTATATATGTGAATATTTCACAAACAGGCAGGCAAGAAACAAAACACAAGCTCACTTGAAGTCCTCATTCTTGATAAACTCCACAATAATGTCCTTCTCTGGCTGAATCTGCAACATCTTCAACAGCAGGCACAGGAAGGGCACCGGCTTGATGTTGCCTCCGAACACACCCCCAATATACTTCAGCTCCATGGCCTTGTCCACAATCAGGGCAGCTAGTGACAATACGCATATACATTACACTCACCCCCACCTTGGAACATATGCACATGCATTACACTCACCCCCCATCTTGAAACATATGCACATACATTATACTCACCCATCTTGAAACATAAGTATTGAAACAAGTAAAATGTACCTCATTCTGAGCAACAAAAGTTAATGTACTGCCTCTTATGGATGCTGGAACCTGGGGGCTCGGCTTCATTAGCTCCCTCCCCTCCCACATTTGTAAGGGGGTGGGCCTTTAACCATGTACATAAATTATTTTTAAAAGTACTTGTGTATATATTTTATATTATTTCAACATGTTATTTTATTTATTTTGCAATTCAGCACAAAAATAATAATATAACTAAAATAATATTATTAATAATAACAATGTGAATAGCAATATATATATGTCAGTTTGTGCTTGTATAATATGCTTGAAAAATATGATATGTTGAAACAGAGGACTGTAAAAGATGTCTACTTGTTATACATGTTTCAAGGAGGCATTTTACCGCCTGTATAACATTATCTGGTAGTGGGTGGGACTTACTTCTCATTTCAGACGAGCGGAAGGGACTCAGTTCTTATGGTAGGGGGGCACGCGATCCATTTAATCAGAGGAGGGGGTATGGGGCTCCCAACCCCTTTCTATTAGAATGTTTCTCTAGGTGGTGAGGAGGGCATGGTTTTATTTGAGAAGCAGGAACATTGTGCCTAGCAATTTGTAAGAGGGGGGTGTTGCTGGGGGTTAGGGAGATGTTGGGGGTTAGGGAGATGCTGGGGGTTAGGGAGATGCTGGGGGTTAGGGAGATGCTGGGGGTTAGGGAGATGCTGGGGGTTAGGGAGATGTTGGGGGTTAGGGAGATGTTGGGGGTTAGGGAGATGCTGGGGGTTAGGGAGATGTTGGGAGTTAAGGTTCTTCTAAAGCCCATATTTCTTAAAGGCTGCCTAGAAGTTCAACTGTCATTCACTGAAGTCACTAACTTTTAACAAACTGATTTACTAATTGTCTTCTTCTTCTTCACGCATGACACCATGTAGGTAATTCTAGGATGTAAAAGAGATACCTCAGTAGTATGTATATATACTTGCACTGGCTTTTATTGCAGTTTGGCCCAAAGTTCTGCAAGCAAAGTCATATCTTAGAGTAGCTGCAGACAAGAAGCACCTCTTGCATGAAGCCCTGGGTAGATCTAAGGGTCACAGATTGAAAAGAGGAAGGTCTTGGATGGCGTAAGCCGAAGACACAATCAGACATGTATGCATGCTGGATAAATTTGTGCGAGGTGAGGAGCGGGTCAAAGTGTCAGAGCAAGTTTTAGACGTGCAGGGTTCTTATCACTTTGGGTCGTGAGTGCAGGGACTGGCCAGGTGGCACTGCAGAATCAGAAGTTCTACAAATGATTCAAGACATTTACCGCCCAAGCGATGTGATTATCTATACAGATGGCTCTGTGTTGAGGGGCAGACAAAGTGCATGAGAGTTTATAGCAAAAGCGAATGGACATCTCTTAGTGCAACAAAGCCTTGCATATGATATCACAATGTCTAGTTTGAGAATGGAGGTGGAGGCATTCACTGCTGTCTTCTGCTGGCTTAAGAATCAGCAGTAGTAGGTAGTACACATATGCATTGATTGTCACTGTCTCACAGAGCCTGTTGAGAAAGGTGGAGACAGGTATGCTCCGTGCAGAGTGGCAAGCATCACTTCAGAGATCCCGGGTAGTTAGCATTCTTTAGATATTCTCTCCGGGTATGCCGGTGTGTTGGGAAATGTACAGGCAGACAGACTGGCCCGTTCTGTAGCACTTAGTGGTGAATAGATGTATGACAAGCTAGACGTTGTGAGTGCCCTCAGGGATTGAGTGAAAAGTGCAGAAGCGCAAATACATCATTACGGTCTGAGGAGAATGACGCTGCAAGGAGTTACCAGGGGATCTGGCCGACACTCAAAACTCAAGGGAGGGGCCAGACAGATATACAATCAGACAGTTACTGGTGCCATTGAAACTGAAACTTTGTTTGCTGCTAAAGGTGGGGATGGAGCGTGAGGGTGTCCTGAGTGCTATGATTTTGATTTCATAATTCAACATTCTTCTTCCCGTTCACCAGCTGTAAAGTTTACAGTAAACGCCGGCAGAAAGTTATGATAGTTGAGTTGACAGTTGCTCATCCACTTCTGGACTGACAGGACTGTAAACACTGCAGTCCTGTTCCAGAACCTGAGTATTGCATATCATTTATGCGTTATCTTATCCGTTTTACAAATCTGACGTATCTATATGATTGCAGACTGTTGGTTCCTTGCCTCTTAGGCAGATACACTCCGACTTCAAAGGAACCTCCAGTTAGTGGACGCTTTCGACAAGCTTTAGTTTAGACTTTAGTGTAATTTAAAAAACTGTAAAATCGTCTATCGAAAATAGGTAATAAACACACAATCACTTGAACAATCTATAGGTGTATCTAAATCATCGCTTACCTGTTAAGGCAAAACATTCCTCTTTCCAATATCTGCATTCATATATTCGTGTTCTGATAATTTTCTCCACCAGATACTGGGGATTTGTCCCCTTAACCGAGTGGGCATCCTTCACCGTTCTATTCGCCATCTCTAACAAATGAAACGAAATTTCGTTTCGTATCTTGGAACCCAAAGTTTTTTTTTTTTTAAATCTCAAGTTAGGCAAAACTTTTCATAAGACACAGCCCGTGTATCATCATCATCACGTCGCAGGTCCTTTGCAGAACGTCGCTCTCATCACAGTCTGCCTGAAAGAACTCGGTCTCTCGCCAGTTCTCCCGCCTCATGTACTTTCATACTCAAGGAGTCACTTATATCCTTTGCCCATCTTCGTGTCGGTCGGCCCCTGCCCCTCCTTCCTGTTATCATGCCTTCTGCTATAATTTTGTCCAATCCGTCGTGGCGCTTGATACGACCAAAATATTTCAGCTTTCGAGAAAGGATGCTGTTTATTAGCCAATCTTCCTTGATCTTTTAGGATGTCAATATTTCTCATCTTCTTTGTCCAAGATATTCTGAGAATCTTTCTATAGCATTTCAGCTCAAAAGCCCCTATTCTCTTTCTTAAGGACTGAGAGATAGTCCACGACTCACATCCTTATGTAGCCACTGGGAAGATGCATGCTCTCAAAATTCTAATTTTTATCTCCTTTCTGGTGCTTAACCATAGACTTTTAAGGCTGTTCAATCTTTGCATTGCTATGGCCGTCCTCATTTTAATTTCTGTCGAACAGTCACCATTGCTGTTTATTATAGAGCCTAGATATTCAAAGTTTGTGACATTTTCAATTTCTTCATCATTTATTGTTTTTTTTTTTGGGTGACAAACAGTTTTATCTGTGCTGATTATTTTCGTTTTCTTTAAATTCAAGAACAGATTTTGATCTTCACTGTGCTTTTGGACAGACAATATTAAACTGTCTATTCCCTTTACGCTGTTCGAAAGTAGGACTGTGTCATCTGCGTAGCGGAGTTCCGGAATAGGGTTGCCACCAATTTTGAGCGGATCATAACTGTCACAAGTAGCCCGTGTATATGATATACAAATAATTAGTTAGTTGGGTTATCATCATTGCACTCCCGACATGTTCATAGGTGCTCAGATCCTCTCTTCAGTATGAATCCCAGCCCAGCGTCCGGTGATTAATAGTACCAGTTCTATGTTGATTAACAACTCCTTTGATGTACGTCCCGTTTTTTGCTGTGGCGATCTTAACTGTCAAGTCTTTTTGGCGAGAATGAAAGAAGCTGACAGCTAAGAGGATGATGATATTTAAGAATGTGTATTTGGACATGACTAAGCACTAATAGCATAAACGAAAAGACAGTCCATAGAACTGACTCAATCAGTTCAGTGCCAAGTATCATAAATATCAGCGGAGAATAAACAGAGAAAAGACAGAGACAATAGTAAAAGGCAGACAGTCAGAAACCATATCCATAAAAGCATCGTGTGAAGTTAAATATTTACGGTCAGTTTTCACATTCGAAGGAAAATACGATACAAAAATCAACATAAAACAAGCCAGGTACTGGGAGTGCGCGTAGGAAAGGATGCACGCCGTACTCTGTGTTTGTGTGTGCGCGAGAAAGAGAGGGAGAGAGAGAGAGAGAGAGAGAGAGAGAGAGAGAGAGAGAGAGAGAGAGAGAGAGAGAGAATTGGTGACCAAATAGCAAAAATGTGTGTTTTTAAAATAAAAGATATAACGGGGTAATAAAAAATTGTCTGCATCAGGTACAACCTGACCTGGCTATCTGACCTTGAGAATTGCAGGAACTAGCCAGTGACACCTTTAAGTAAACGTTTTTTTTTTTTTTTTTTTTTTTTTTTTTTTGTTTTTTTTTTTGTTACGAAAGCATATATAAATATTATCTCATTGTTGGCTAACTTAATGCTATCAGTAGCAGACTTGGATCCTAATTACCAACCTAATCAGTTCAAAGTCATAACACCAAAGATGGTGGCACTTGGAAAAGCTGCCGAAGTCACTAGAAGAGAATGGTGGCACTTGAAAGAGCTATCGGAGTAACCAGAAGAGAATGGTGGCACTTGAAAGAGCTGCAGGGGTAACCAGAAGAGAATGGTGGCACTTGAAAGAGCTGTCGGAGTAACCAGAAGAGAATGGTGGCACTTGGAAGAGCTGTCGGAGTAACCAGAAGAGAATGGTGGCTCTTGAAAGAGCTGTCGGAGTAACTAGAAGAGAATGGTGGCACTTGGAAGAGCTGTCGGAGTAACCAGAAGAGAATGGTGGCACTTGGAAAAGCTAGCGGAGTAACAAGAAGAGAAACAGAAAAATTAGGAGACTACGTGTGTACTCTTTATTATTAGTACTGGACTCTGCACTGCTGCTGAGGATGGGGACGGAGCGAGTATGGACATGCCTCAAATGCTGCGATGTCAATTCTTGACTCAACTCGTCATATAGTTTATCAAAGAGCAACAGAGGAAACCGTTTGGCCATGACCTTCTTGGTCTGGTGAGAATAGACTGGTACCAACTGCAGCAGCGACCCATACTGGATTAAAAGCAACTGAACGAACTCTCAGCATAATAAACGTTGGCATCAAGACCAACCTTAAAGAAATGGAGACCAGCTTTTACCACGCGTTGGAACAAGTTCACAGAAGATCCTTATTACACACACACTCACAGAATCACACTCACAGAATCACACACACACACAAACGTCGATGACGTAACTGGAAGGATTCAAGTAGAAAAAAAAGACACCATAACGTTGAATAACCAAAAGACAAACATAAATCCATTCTGTTTCTTATTGTTCGTTAACTGTTATTATCCAGTTTCGTCCTTTTTATGACGACTTTTTTTTTTTTTTTTTTGTCAGTAAGTTTTATTGTTAGTTCGTCCTTAAAATAGCATGTTGTGTTGTGGTTTACAGCTGAGATATTTTCATACGATTTCAAAAAACGCCATAAGTCTTTAAGACTCTGTAAAGCGACACCCGGAAATTCAGTCAAACCTCTGCTTGTTTACGGAATACGCTAACGAATATCGGATTAATAATTTTTTGTGTGGTTCGATTCTAATCACAACCCAGAGAGTTCGACCAGGTTCGTATTTCAAATATGAACGATATAAATTAACGGAAATTATTTAGGGGGCCTGATTATACGAAAGATAATATAATTAAAAGCTTACATAAAAATACAATGGACACCATTTTCCTTCAGCCCTTTGGGAACGAGTGAACAGTCTGGATGCGCAGATACATTATTACGGTCTGAATAGAATGGCGATGCGAGGGGTTACCAGGGAATGTGACCGACGCTCAACACTCAGTGGAAGGATGAGACGGATGATATACAATCAGACAGCTACTGGTGCCATCGGAATTGGAACTCTTCTCTTGCTGCTGAAGATGGGACGGAGCACTAATGGGAGTGTGCCGAGTGCTGTGATGTCGATTCTTAATTCAACATTTTCCTTCAGCAATAACGCACATACAAAAATGTACACGAGAGTTCTTTTTTCCTTTATAAAACCCACTCTGATTACTTAAACAAATTATGTGCAGGTGGATTGTCAATATTCCTTACGTCCTTTTTAGGACGCAATTTTTTGTTATTTGAAGCCCCACTCTGGCTTTTGCCAGGGGCCGCAATATAGGCAGGCCATTAATATGGCCAATTGTCTGAATGCGGTTTCTGGAACCTCTCCACGGTGATCCTCATCCGCGTGGTGGCACTTTGTGTCATCGGGTGTTTATCGTTTGTGTGGTGTCTTTGTGGGGTAGAAAGTCAGTCAGTCAGTCATGTGAGTCATCGGGTGTTTATCGCTTGTGTGATGTCTTGGTGGGGTAGAAAGTCAGTCAGTCAGTCATGTGGGTCATCGGGTGTTTATCGCTTGTGTGATGTCTTGGTGGGGTAGAAAGTCAGTCAGTCAGTCATGTGGGTCATCGGGTGTTTATCGCTTGTGTGATGTCTTGGTGGGGTAGAAAGTCAGTCAGTCAGTCTGCAGATGGATAGCAAAAAAAAAAAAAAAAAAAAAACAAGCGGTGGGGCAGGCAGTAAATTTTTTTCGATTTGGCCAGAAAACGACAACACTGAGTGTGTATTCAAAAATGCGAAAAGATGGTTCTGTTCATCGGGGTGTCGATCTGGCTGGGAGTTTTCAGCTAAAGTGAAGGGAAAGGTCGTAGCAGAACAAAATGATCTACAACTTCAAGCATGAGGATGGAGGTGAAGGCAATCACTGCAGCTCTAAGGTGGTTGTTACCATAGGAAGTATTGTATCTGATTCCACGTCGATATTGCGGAAGGTTCAAATGGATAAATGTGGCATGAATGGATACCAAGCACCAATATGTCTACATTGTAGGCAATTATGTGGATATACAGCCTGAATATGTAGGAGTGCGAGGGAATGAAAGGACCGATTCTCTGGCTACAAAAGCGATAGCTGCTGGAACACTACTGGACAATGGAGACATTGTGAAAACCATATACCAACAAATGTTGATCGAAGACACGAGGTTAAATGAAATAACATGTGTAAGAATAAGTAAACGAAGAATTGGGAGTGGATCCAGAAATAGCGGGTGTATGAGAATAAGAGAACGATCTGTCTATCGTCAGCGTGCTACGGCAACAGTTAGCACTTATAACTTATTAACACATTTGCTGCGAGAGACTGAGCATCTGTGGGTATGCCCCGTGTGCTATGATGTCGATTCCTAAATCAGTAAATAAGTAAAATTAGCAAACAGACAGTAAATGCGAATACACGGCGTGACGGTTGAACATAACACAGATGAAGGTATACTTATGGCTTACACGGCGGATCATGATCTGGGGCAACTAAAGTGCAAGGTTGTTCACAGTGAACTCAAAAGGTAATGCCTCCTGGGAGATGACTGGCGCTTCTGCTGATACCCTAAGTTGTTTGACAATGTATACTGTGACTGTAATAGGGGCAACGGCATCACTGGCTGGGTACTAACGAGCTTACATGTGCATGCATACTGAGCAACTCAATAAATAAGCCCAAGAAAGTCCTGGCTGACCTTATTAGACATGTTTCGTTCCATACGGGACGAATGAAATGTTTAAACTGTATCTTTCTGTCAGGTGTTCGAGACAACGAGTGTGCACATTATCTGTTTGAAACCGCGGTTGCTGGCCCAGGACTGACCCGATACTGACCCGGTAATGACAGGAGAGATGCCACGAATGCTAAGCAAGAGGTACATAGCAAATTTTGGTACTTAAATTTGTATTCAACCCAAACAATGGAAATCCGCGAGTTTCCACGTAAGATCAATATTATAGGAGTTAACTCCAACCGCTTCAAAGACAATGACTAACCCTAATCCCAATCCATAATACCCCTACCCTTAAAACTCCTGCACACCCGGAGAAAATATCAAGAGAACGTCAACTACCCGGGACCTCCGAACCGATATGCCATTCTGCACGAAGCATGGCTTGTTCCACCTTTTTTAAACACGCTTTATGATCAGTCGTTTTTACGTGTTTAGAGCTAGAAAGGAGAAGATCCGAGCATCTATGAATCTGTCGGGGGTCCAGAGAAATTGATCTTTCCTAATCATATACTAACTTATTTTCTTTTGTTTTTTCAACTCAACACTAAATTTCAACCAAAAGAGCAGCCTATGACAAAATCTTCCTGGCAAACCGGTGCTACCAGTGCCAGATCTGGGCAATGACAGAACAAGAGAAAAGCAAAATTACAACAAATAATATTCCCACGAGGGGGCCTTAATATTAAAATTAGAGATAAGGTCAGGAACAAGGCCATCTTTAGATATAAATAGCCTGAAGATGGGCGTGGTCAGGAATTATGGAATTCGAAAAAGAATGGGTGTAGTAGCTGCTCTAGATTTCATTAAAAGAGAACAAATGAAATGATTTGGCCATATAAAGACGATATAAGCAAACGGTAAACCACAGCAAGCAACGATGTACAGACAAGGCGGGAAGTGACGCAGAGGCCGATCATACAAGCGATTGACAGAGGGAATAACAGAGTCCCCGGGATTCCCCGTTTACGAAGCGCGCACACACGGGAACTTCTTGTAAATTATACTTCACTTTGACACCACAAGGTACCGGTGGATCAAGATGAGAAGACTCCAATGGCCCCATTGGTTTTGAAAGAAAGAGAAGTTTGAGAATTAGGAGAGGGAGGAGGGAGAAGACAAAGAAGATGAACGAAGGAACGAACTTTATTTCGAAAAGGTTACAAATTGGGCACGCAGGCCGTTTAATATTCGGTCCTTTCAAGCATTCATTTTTCAGACGGCAGCTGCGCTTTGTATATCATTCATTCATTCATTCAGTAGCATGTCCCTCGCGGAACCTCGCTGCCATAACAACCCTCCGGAAAACCTTCCTATCCTGAGCAAGATGTCCTGCGTCTGATACACCCATCTGGAGATCATCTGCCACATCCTGCACCCATCTTCTCCTTGGCCTTCCTCTTCCTCTCTTCCCAGGCATATACCCCTCCATTATTGTTCTCTCTAGACTTCCATGACGTTTCAAGTGACCAAAATATTTCAATTTTCTTTGTTTTATTGTCTTTACTAGCCAACCCTCTTCAATATTCAGCTCTTGAAGTATGGATGCATTTGTTCTTTTCTTTATCCAAGATATTCTTAGAACCTGTCTGTAACATTTATATTCAAATGCATTTATGCGCTGTTCCGCTTGTTTAGTAAGTGTCCAGGTCTCACAGGCGTATGTTGCAATGGGAAAGATGCATGCTCTTAAAAATCTGACCTTTGTAATTCTATCTGTACAATTCCATAATTTATTCAGTTGTTTTAGTCTTTGAAGAGCAATTGATAGTCGCCGTTTAATTTCTTTCATTGTGTCACCATTGTTGGTAACCAGTGACCCAAGATATTCGAAATTTTCCACCACTTCCAATCTTTCCTCATTAACATATATTTCCTTCTCCATGGCAGTTTTGTTTGTATGCATTATCTTTGTTTTTGCTATGTTAAGAAATAAGTTGTGATTTTCACTATTTCTTTGGAGTGAGGTTAATAAGTTTTCTAAACCATTTTGTGATGTTGATAGTAATACTGTATCATCAGCATAATGAATTTCTGGTATTTCATGACCACCGATGTTTAGGGCATCATATTGTTCCTTGTTTATATCATCTCTTACATTTCTCATTATATTTTCGGCGTACAGGTTGAACAAATACGGTGACAGCACACATCCTTTTCTTTCATGATTGTTATGGATTCTTGGCAAAATTTGCAGAAGGTAGTTTGCCGTTGCTTTCCTCCTGAGCAGTGACTATACTAGTCGGTGGCCATAGCCATTGTCTCTACTGATGAGATCATCTGCCTATCGCCGCAGAGTGCAGACCATAACCAACAATACCTGTCGGCTGCTCTTACACTCCATCCACCACCTGCTTCCATGGCTTCACGTAACCCTGATTGGGGGGCTAAACGGGTACTCCACCTTGCCCAAGGGTGTCCCGTAGACTAGCGGAGGAAAGGAGGCGTCTTACTTCTCCTTTGATAGGGGATACCCCTACCCCGCTAACGTCTTTGTATATCAAGCATATTATATTAATATGTCAAATTGCACTGTATAAATGTAAATTAGAAACAAAGGAATAAATGCCTACCTTCAACTACACATGCAAAAAAAAATACTCATACATCGCATACACACGCAAGCACACACATACACACCACTCCTACACACACAGAAACGCATACATTAATGACACACACATAATAAACAGGCAAACACACAATCACAGATAGAACACATACACACAATATCTGATTATGAAAAAGGAGCAGATGAAAAAGTGAGAGGAGGAGAAGAAGACAAAGAAGAAGAGAGCAGGCGAATAATAAGAATTTAGAATAAAAGGGGAAACGAAGAGGAGAAGAATGGACCAAAACCTGGCTCTTTCCCACCAACAGGTGTCCGGAAGTGACGTACAACAGCGCCAAAACAAGCAGTCACAAACCTGAACACACCGTCCCCAGTGTTTGTTGTTGTTGTTGTTTGATTAACGTGATTATTGTTTGGTTGTTTACCAACATCAAAACACCAGGAGGAGGATTATTGGCAGCCCGGACCAGTGACAATCGCTCATCATGCCTGTCACATCGTCTGGAAGTCTGTTCGCGGTGTCAGGAGTCCACTGGATCGGCGAGGGGCAAGACGGCGACCGGCGCGGAGTTGATAAACATTACAGGTACGCTACAACCGGACAAGTTGTTGGAACTACTACTCCATTTCTGCTTACTCCTTGTTCATTCTGTTTATTGACTGTTTACAGTTCTGTAAAACCTGCATTGTTTACAGCCGTAAAACCATATAGTTATTGTATAGAGCTCACTGACAGTCAACAGTATGGCTGTCTAAAACTAAAACTCAAAGGTTGTGTAAGTGGATTGGATACAGATGTTTTTGTTGCAGTTGTCTTGAGTTGTGACATAATTAAACACTTCGGCATTATAAATGTAGAGTATTTTTTTAAAATAGTAAAAAGCAATGATTGAAAGTAAGTAGGGAAAAAAACAACAACTAACTGCGTGATTCCGTTACTTAACTTTGTAAAAATTTATAACTTGTTTTAAAACTATCATTTAACTTTAAGCAGATGTCAGTTTCAAAAACAAAGCGGGAAAAAACATTTTGTGTAAACTCAATTAACTTTTAGGCTATCTTCCGAATAATGGTCCCAAATTATCGAGGCCGAAAATATACCCTAACAGGGCCTCAGTCACATATAAATTGTGGAGATGCAGACTTTTACCACCGCCGTGAGTATCTCCCATGCTGCTATAGCCTACGCGTGGAGTGGTTGGGACTCACGAGTAAATAAAATGAAGAAAGCTGCAGGAGATGCTGTAGCTACTGCTCTTGAGTCCCAGCCATCTAGTTTAGCCCCAATCCACGGCGGCGTAGCAGCGTGGGAGATACTGCGCGCAATTTAAGTCACTCGAAGTCTGCAATTTACATGTGACTGAGGCTCTGTTAGGGTATATTTATGGCCTCGATATGTTTGAACAGTTTTTCGAAAGAAAGCCAACTTTTAATTATATATGCGTCTGCAGCAAGTAAAGTGCCAAGAAAAGACACCGTAAATGCAGTTTAAAGTTGTTTATTCCAGACCTAAGGTGACTATAGCTTCCGAAGTGTATGTATGTTGTCTAGTGTTCCTTATTTCTATGGGTGCCAGTCAATACATGTCTATTTGTTTAACATATGTAAGGTTTCTTTGACCTCAAGTATTCCCCGTCTGTTTATTTTTGTGTTGAAAACCTTGCTTAGTCTTGCATGTCTTGAAGACCAGCTGACACACAAAACATGAGTGTTGGCTTCACCTGAGTGTTTCTGTCCACATGTCAAATAGTCACCTGTGGGAATTCAAGCGTTCATCTGCCACCAGGAAAACATAAAAGCCATGGTGGACTCCCTATGTGGGATCCGGAGCCTCATCTTGGGTAAAACAAGAATAGAGCCACTGTCTCCCCTCAAGCATGTCATAGCAGTCAGGGAACCAAGAGTCTGCATACAAATAAGCCAGATATGTGAAACAGATATGCACACAACACTGAGGTTCTGGAGCAAGTCCAGAAATTGCCAAAGAACCATAACTTTTCACCTAAGTTTATAGCAGGTGAACGCAAAAAAAAAAAAAGAAGAAGAAAACAGTTCTCCTCTAAACATGGAGTCAGTGAAGGTTGCTGGACCGAGGGCACAAGTCCACTTCTTAAATAGTGAGATATCTCAGGTCTGAATGAGAAACATCCAAGCCATTCTGCTACTACAGTTCCTGTACTTTATTTATGTGGTTTAATCTGTTTTGATTGCGTTTTTGTTTTGCCAACTGGCATGGGTGCTGTAAGTGGAACTCAGACAGTACACCTTGTCTCTCCACCCCATCCTCCATAAAACATGTAAAATTAGGCACAACAGGTTGAAAGGATTGCCCCGTCTGAGATTTGCTATAAATTATCTCCATGTCTTAACCTGTCTAAATATTTAGATGGTGGTGTTTCTTCAGAGTACCACATCTTTGAAACTGTCAGAGATATTTTATTTGTATGTTAATTATCTAATAGATGATGATAGAGGTTCCATCTTTAGCAGCCAGTGAAGAGTTCCAGAGACAGCGGTAACAAATTATTCACTATCCATTGCCATATATTTAAACTAAGTAAAGTAAAGGACCCTTTCCACGCCTTTAGGCGTATAAGGCATATAGGGTTAGACCTGTATTTTTAGAGACCAATCAGCACAAGTTCATGTGGTCAGCATCACGCCATATATTTAAACTAATTTTATAAATTGCAGTTTTCCTGTTATTTATATCTGTAGTACATTGTCTATCTGATGTTATTTATACGCCATGTTATTTAAACAGCCGTGAATGATGACATTAAAAATGAGCTCTTCTTGATCACGTTTGAAAGAATATTGGTAACATTTGGTTTTTATTTTGTTGTCTTACTTGCTTTTCAGAAAGTTCAGCCTTGGGGGAGAGGAGTTCTGTCTTGGAGACTTCATCCTCATCTCACGCCAGGAAAACATTTGTGAATCTAGCGCCAGAGAGGATTGCTACGTGGCTCGAATATCTGATCTGTATGAGAAAGGTGCTGATTTGTTTCAATTTTCTGCTCTTCTGAAGTTCTGGGTCTCTTTTAAGTTAAATCGCTGGTTTGGTTATCATTGAAGTTAGTCACTTGTCTGTTTGTCATTGAAGTTAGTCACTTGTCTGTTTGTCATTGAAGTTAGTCACTTGTCTGGTTATCATTGAAGTTAAAGTCACTTGTCTGGTTATCATTGAAGTTAAAGTCACTTGTCTGGTTATCATTGAAGTTAAAGTCACTTGTCTGTTTGTCATTGAAGTTAGTCACTTGTCTGTTTGTCATTGAAGTTAGTCACTTGTCTGGTTATCATTGAAGTTAAAGCCACTTATCTGGTTATCATTGAAGTGAAGACACTTGTCTGGTTATCATTGAAGTTAAAGTCACTTGTCTGTTTATCATTGAAGTTAAAGTCACTTGTCTGTTTATCATTGAAGTTAAAGTCACTTGTCTGTTTATCATTGAAGTTAAAGTCACTTGTCTGTTTGTCATTGAAGTTAGTCACTTGTCTGGTTATCATTGAAGTTAAAGTCACTTGTCTGATTATCATTGAAGTTAAAGTCACTTGTCTGGTTATCATTGAAGTTAAAGCCACTTATCTGGTTATCATTGAAGTGAAGACACTTGTCTGGTTATCATTGAAGTTAAAGTCACTTGTCTGTTTGTCATTGAAGTTAGTCACTTGTCTGATTATCATTGAAGTTAAAGTCACTTGTCTGTTTGTCATTGAAGTTAAAGTCACTTGTCTGTTTGTCATTGAAGTTAGTCACTTGTCTCGTTATCATTGAAGTGAATGTTACTTGTCTGGTTATCATTGAAGTTAAAGTTTAATTTTGATGTGCTGAAAACACTAACAGTCTTAAACACATGCGCCATAAAACACACACAGCAGCAGTCACAATTTGAGTTCATGACCAATTGTTTTTTACAACGCTTCCCCAGAACTGATGTACAACAGAGCTGAAGTGCAGAGATTTGCACAAGTTCGCTGGTACTGGCAGAAACAGGAAGTTACAGGCCGTCTGCACCGACTATTGAAAGGACAGAAGATGGATGACAATGAAGTCATCCTGGACTTGTCCAACAGCTTCGAGAGGGATATCGACTTGGAGACAGTTGTCGGCAAATGCCAGGTCAGAGCTGAATTTGTTTGAGCCGCATCGTCTGTGACTGTTTCTTTGAACCACTATGTACTGATCCTGGCCACTGTCACTGACTACATTATACTAACGGTAACGGCCAAACCCTTTCGTCCAGACAATGTATCACATTACACTGAACCCCTTCGTCCAGACAATGTATCACATTGCACTGAACCCTGTGGTCCATACATTGTATCACATTACACTGAACCCTGTGGTCCATACATTGTATCACATTACACTGAACCCTTTGGGCCAAACATTGTATCACATTACACTGAACCCTTTGGGCCAAACAATGTATCACATTACACTGAACCCTTTGGTCCCTGGCTACCCCTAATCTGACATCACTGCCTGTTGCACATCCTCATGAAGACGTTAAACTAACGTTGCGGATTGACCAGCACCCCACAAGCCTAGTTAATGGTGTTTGTTCTGTATAGGCCTGCGCAGTGTTTTGGAGGGCTGGATGTTATATTTACTCGAAAAATTTCATGGGGGTGGATGTTTATTGTTGAAAAAAAAAAGCTTTTTATTTGTCATAGCATCAATGATGTTATAATTTGCCTTTAATGGTCGCATATCGACGGGGTCACTTTAATGGTCACATATCGACGTGGTCACTTTAATGGTCACATATCGACGTGGTCACTTTAATCACTGCGTGCATTTTTAGAGGCCCAAGGGAATGAATTCCATTTAATTGTTTGTAATGAACATAGAAGAAGAATTTGCTGCTCCTTAACCCTACCAGACCTGAGGCCCTGAACCTACCTATACCTGAGCTCCTGGGCATTACTGCGAAAAACCAACATGATATACACAAATATTAGTTACATGCAAACAAGTGGTTAGAAAAAGATGAAACTTGGAGACATTGTAGAAAATAGGTTTACCTTTCATCTAGTGCCAATCTTCCACCTTTGTGTGCTAATCCACCGAGCAGAATCAATCTTGTTTCACAAAGTGAGCACCAGATGATGCTGTTTGAGGGACATGCCCCCTTCTCTTACTATCGATCTACTTCTAGATTTATAATTTTCAAGATTCTCCTCATCATTCCAACTCTCACTGATTGTGTCACTTCAACTGGGAACGTATTCTTCATGAAATTATGACGCCGCAGAGTCTGAATCAACCAAATTATCGATTATCTGTTGGACTGTGAAAAGCCTTGACCTACTTTACTTTGCTGTCAAAGTGCCTGGTTCATCAGCTGCTCGTTTTATTGTGAATTTTCTGAATTTTTTCACATAAATCAACACAAATTTAATTCAAATTCATGCACGGGAACATCTAGGAAGACTTTTGACGAGATCTGATTATGATTGACTAGTTATTTTTAGTTTTCTCATAGTATGCATATTCCCGACATTGAAGGACAGCAATTTAGCAGGAGATTAGGAAATTTCCGAAATAGTGGGCCAGCAGTCTGGTAGAGTTAATGTTTTTTAATTACTCCCTTTTCAAATATTTCTAAAATAAATTATGACTGACCTGTGTTAAATTTTGACTCATTTAAGTATTGTTTTATTTGTGTGTGTGTGTGGGGGGTGGGGGTGTTAAAGTTCTAGCCCCCCTCCCCCCACCCTGTGTAAAGTCTAGTTGGTCTCCAGCATCCCATCTACACACATGGGGGAGGGGGCGTTGGTTTGTACACAATTGCTCACACTCCAAGGTGCATTTTTATATCAGTAATTATTGTATTTGGCCGTTTTTTTTAGATCAGTGATTATTTTATATTGCAGTTCTTTAAATCAGTAATTCTTGTATATGGCCGGCCGTTCTTTAGATCAGTAATTATTGTATATGGCCGTTCTTTAGATCAGTAATTATTGAATATTGCCGTTCTTTAGATCAGTGATTATTGAATATTGCCGTTCTTTAGATCAGTAATTATTGAATATTGCCGTTCTTTAGATCAGTAATTATTGAATATTGCCGTTCTTTAGATCAGTAATTATTGAATATTGCCGTTCTTTAGATCAGTGTTCTTTTTTTATCAGTAATTGTTTTACATTGATGTTCTTCATATCAGTGTTCTTTATGTTTAGTGTTTGTTACAGTTGACACTGAGCAGCCTAATTTGACATGGTTGTTTATTATTTCTGTGTTTTCTCACTAGGTTTTACATGTCACAGATAACTCAGATTTATCTCCACTTGTCACCAAGGAGAATAACAACAATATTCAGACATTTGTGGCCAGACGAGCCTACAATGGTAAAGTCTTTCAGCCGCTGTCAGAAATTGCAGTGGACGAGTACACGCCTGCCACTGTCAGGACTCCAGTCAACAACAAGAAACACAGGGACTCCCAACTGAAGCTGAACACACCCAATGGGAATTCCCTTTTGAACAACAGCAATGGCAGATCTGAGGTGGGTTTACCCTGTGACTGAAATTGTGTTTGAAAGTGAGTGGGCACAAGTTTGGTAGCAATAGCCCCCAACCCCTGTATAGGTTCCAGACCCGGGGGGGGGGGGGGGGGGGGGGGGGGTTTAGACCCACTTCTGAGGTCCCATTTTCTGAGAATAAACTCACTGCCTCCCTAACAAGCATCCTGTATAAGACTGCAGGATAACGAAGCTTACTTTGAAATGGGGAATGCATGAGAGACACGGAACCAACAGTCTGCATACAAATAAGCCAGATATGTAAAACAAATGTGCATGCAAAACTCAAGTTCTGGAATAAGATCACAGTTCAGAAATGGATGAGCAACCGGAACTTTCCACCAGAGTTTACAGCTGGTGGGTGCTAAGAAAAAAGAGGGAGAGCATGATATGTTATCCTAGTTATATGTGTGGGTACGTCATGCTGAAACATGTAGTTCTCCTGCTGATCCCCCTTGTGAGTTTTATGTAAGGTCTATTTTAGTCTCTGAAAGTAATCAGTGGGCGTTTTTAGGTACTGGCTATTTCACATCAGCGGATGTAAAATGACTTCCCAGCACGGGTTCTGGGGCTTCAACAAGCATGTCGTAGGAGTTGACTAATTTGGGGCTTTCTTTGAAGTTGGAGTGCATCTGTCCGAGCAGCAGAGAACAACACACTGCGCACAAATAAGCCAGTAAAACAGATGTACATGCAAAACTCAGGCCTGGCACAAAGGTGCCAAAGTCCAAATGAACAAACAACCAGGACTTGGAACCTACAGCCAGTGAACAAAGAAGAAAGAAGTCAAGTTACCTGTCTTCAGCTTGTAAGGTATAACTTTAGTCTTCTGTGTGTGGAATAATTACATGCATTGCTGAAAATGGAGTAATCAAGCATGTGAGGACAGTACATCGGAGTGGACACATGACAGCAGTTGGTGAGTGTGCTGGCACTCTATCACTTTTGTATCTTGTGTATTGTTTTGTGTTATGAGCATCTTTGTGGTCTTCACCGGATTCCACAGAATAATCTGTTCTAAAAACCACAGACTGGGGGAGAAGGTACAACATATAGTTTTATATCTTATTTTGTCTGCGTGTAGAAGTCACCTGCATCCAAGTTTACCAAACGATCTTTGAAGGATATCTGCACCACGGAATCACCAATGATTTGCCTGCAACGGGTCAAGATGAGTCCAGCAAACAAACATTTGAGCCCTGCAAACAAACGTATGTATAATGCTTTTAATTTGTGGTTTATCATTGTGAACCAACTAGTTAACAAGTTACAGAGTACATTTGATGGTTGACCCAGACATATTCATTGAGGGTTGAAAGATAGTCAGATTCACCATAGTACAGCAAGATAGAACTAAATAGCTAACCATCAATCCAGACTCATGGACACACAGTTTCCCCATCTTTGCCTCTCTGCCTCAAATGTTGAATCAGTGAGTGATTAGTGAACTTGTTTGCAGTGACACTGGTTTTTGTTTAGTCCTCAACAGTGGCAGCATTATCTTTCTCTGATCAATTTGGCTGTGGCTCAGCCCATAAAGAGAATGGGCTAGAAACTGTCTAAATAACCTGTTGCTACATCTGAGCACAACTTTCAACTACACAACTGCTACACACACACACAAAGGCACAGACACTGAGAAACAGCTGACCCGGCTGCTTCGAGATACCAGCGAAGCGATTTTGTGTATCTGTGTAGTATTGTTTGCTTTGTATGTTGCTGATGAAGGCTCAGTAGCCGCAACGTTCATGTTTTGTTTGTTGTATTTGTTATATTGTGAAGCTTGCCAATATATTTTCGTTCCGTTTTAAATCTTTTCTTGGCTACATAATAGCATGATTTTCAGCTATAGAATTTGCCAGAAATAGGCTAGCTAAGCTTTGGCTACTTAATAGTGTGACCTTTGGCTACAAAATGACATAGAACTGTGGCTACAGAATAGTCCAGAAACTGGCTAGTTACTTTGGCTCCATCCTTTTAAAAGCACAATCCTTAGCTACAAAAGGTCAGTGGTTACATTATGGCAGATTCATTTTATTGGCAAAGTCTGCTATCCTTTTTTTTTTAGTCACCCTCTTGTACATAAGTTTGAAGATACATTTGACCCAGTTCATGGTTGATTTTATTTGCCCTTTACAGTGCTGATGTATGACTGAGTGATGTTATTTGCCTTTGTCAGTGGGATGTATGACTGAGTGTTGTTATTTGCCTTTGACAGTGCTGATGTATGACTGAGTGTTGTTATTTGCCTTTATCAGTGGGATGTATGACTGAGTGATGTTATTTGCCTTTGTCAGTGGGATGTATGACTGAGTGTTGTTATTTGCCTTTGTCAGTGGGATGTATGACTGAGTGATGTTATTTGCCTTTGTCAGTGGGATGTATGACTGAGTGATGTTATTTGCCTTTATCAGTGGGATGTATGACTGAGTGATGTTATTTGCCTTTGACAGTGGGATGTATGACTGAGTGTTGTTATTTGCCTTTGACAATGGGATGTATGACTGAGTGTTGTTATTTGCCTTTGTCAGTGGGATGTATGACTGAGTGATGTTATTTGCCTTTATCAGTGGGATGTATGACTGAGTGTTGTTATTTGCCTTTATCAGTGGGATGTATGACTGAGTGATGTTATTTGCCTTTGACAGTGCTGATTTATGCTTCAGTGATGTTTTTGCCTTTGACAGTGCTGATTTATGCTTGAGTGATGTATTTGTTTTTGACAGTGCTGATTTAAGCTTGACTGATGTTATTTGCCCTTGACAGTGCTGAATTATGCTTGACTGATGTTATTTGCCTTTGACAGTGCTGATTTATGCTTGTGATGTTATGTGCCTTTGACAGTGCTGATTTATGCTTGACTGATGTTATGTGCCTTTGACAGTGCTGATTTATGCTTGTGATGTTATTTGCCTTTGACAGTGCTGATTTATGCTTGAGTGATGTTATGTGCCTTTGACAGTGCTGATTTATGCTTTAGTGATGTTATGTGCCTTTGACAGGGCTGAATTATGCTTGACTGATGTTATTTGCCTTTGACAGTGGGATGTATGACTGAGTGATGTTATTTGCCTTTATCAGTGGGATGTATGACTGAGTGATGTTATTTGCCTTTATCAGTGGGATGTATGACTGAGTGATGTTATTTACCTTTATCAGTGGAATGTATGACTGAGTGATGTTATTTGTCTTATCAGTGGGATGTATGACTGAGTGATGTTATTTGCCTTTATCAGTGGGATGTATGACTGAGTGATGTTATTTGCCTTTATCAGTGGGATGTATGACTGAGCGATGTTATTTGCCTTTATCAGTGGGATGTATGACTGAGTGATGTTATTTGCCTTTATCAGTGGGATGTATGACTGAGTGTTGTTGTTTGCCTTTATCAGTGGGATGTATGACTGAGTGAGGTTATTTGCCTTTGACAGTGCTGATTTATGCTTGAGTGATGTTATGTGCCTTTGACAGTGCTGATTTATGCTTGACATGTTATGTGCCTTTGATAGTGCTGATTTATGCTTGAGTGATGTTATGTGCCTTTGACAGTGCTGATTTATGCTTGAGTGATGTTATTGCCTTTGACAGTGCTGATATATGCTTGAGTGATGTTATGTGCCCTTGACAGTGCTGATTTATGCTTGTGATGTTATTTGCCTTTGACAGTGCTGATTTATGCTTGAGTGATGTTATTGCCTTTGACAGTGCTGATTTATGCTTGAGTGATGTTATTGCCTTTGACAGTGCTGATTTATGCTTGAGTGATGTTATTGCCTTTGACAGTGCTGGTTTATGCTTGACTGATGTTATTTGCCTTTGACAGTGCTGATTTATGCTTGAGTGATGTTATTTGCCTTTGACAGTGCTGATTTATGCTTGACTGATGTTATGTGCCTTTGACAGTGCTGATTTATGCTTGTGATGTTATTTGCCTTTGACAGTGCTGATTTATGCTTGAGTGATGTTATTTGCCTTTGACAGTGCTGATTTATGCTTAAGTGTTATTTTTGCCTTTGACAGTGCTGATTTATGCTTGTGATGTTATTTGTCTTTGACAGTGCCGAAGTCACCTCTGGAGAGATTGGCCAGGCTCAACCAGAAAGCTGTCATGGACATGATATTAGATGACACTGATGATGATAATGATGGCACAGATAGCGATTCTGATGCAGACAGATCACATGTGAACAAGCCTGTGAAAGACGTGCAGCATGCAGCATCAAGTGATGGCAACATAAACCAGACATTTCAAGGCAGCTCTTTCAAGCGACAAAGAAGTGACGAACATGCTGATGTTGAGAACTCTGTTGTAGCCAGTCCTTTGAAACGATTGAAGGTGGACACACGGGTCAGTGGAGGCAAAGGGAGGAAGGAGCAGATGGTCAGTTCCCTGGACAGCAACTTTTCACCTTCAGATAAAGCTGGAGCTAGAAGTTTCACCCCTGACCCACTCCTGAGGAAGTCCACCTATAGTGTTTGTGTAAAACAGAACGACCAGAGTAGAAGCTGTGACCAGACCACAGAGGCCAGCTCTGGCCATTCACATCTCAAGCTGCTGTTTAGCAAAAATAGTGTGTCACCACTGAAAAGTCCAAAGTCTGAGGTTGTGAATTCTCCTGCAGTTTCTAGGGTAACAGGCTCGCCATGCAGACGCAAGTCACTCTTTGAATCTGAGGAACATGAGATGATCATTCGAACCCCAGTGGCCAAGAGAAGAGGGTCTGATAAAACACCAAACAGTCTAGAAACAGGCAGGCGATTATCTGTGAATCTCTTTGGTGGTTGGGACTCCCTGTCAGAGTCACCGTCTGTTTTTGGTGGTGTTGAAACCAAGCCCCGGAATGGCCTCAAGGACATAGAAGTATCAGGTACCGCAGTAAGACCATCAGCAGCTGTGTTTCCGTCAGTAGATGATTCCGATGGGGGTATAGCCACTCCTAGCCCCAGACGGGCCAGCAACAGAAGTCGCAGCAAACCCTCCAGGTTTTCCCCAGAGAGTGACATTCTGAGTTCACCCAAGACATGTTTGGTTAAACTTGTGAATTCACCAAGAGTGAAATCATTCAGCCAAAATCATACACCTAAAAAGTGTTTACAGTCTCGTGCGAATTCTCCCAAGGCTGGTTTTGTGCATCTTGATTCTCCAAGATCGGCTATTTCATCAAAGAAAAACTTGACACCAAGCAGGTCTAAGATATCTGCAACACTTGACAGCCCTCGGACATCGCAGAGACAGACTCCTCGACGAGTGGCATCTTTGAAGAGAATTTCATACGCAGAATCTGGCCAGTCAGAGGATGATGATCAAGATGAAGCTTTTACTAAAATTAAGTTTGGGGAGAAATTAGCTGTTCGGAGAACTTTGCAGATGACACCGAAAATGTAAGTATCCTTTTGAATTTTTTGATGTTTTCTTGCACCTGAAGTCATGATAGCGTTGAACAACTGGTTAAAAGTCATGATAGCATTGAACAACTGGTTAGAAGTCAGGATAGCATTGAACAACTGGTTAGAAGTCATGATAGCATTGAGCAACTGGTTAGAAGTCATTGAACAACTGGTTAGAGTCATGATAGCATTGAACAACTGGTTAGAAGTCATGATAGCATTGAACAACACGTTAGAAGTCATTGAACAACTGGTTAGAAGTCATGATAGCATTGAACAACTGGTTAGAAGTCATCATAGCATTGAACAACTGGTTAGAAGTCATTGAACAACTGGTTAGAAGTCATTGAACAACTGGTTAGAAGTCATGATAGCATTGAACAACACGTTAGAAGTCATTGAACAACTGGTTAGAAGTCATGATAGCATTGAACAACTGGTTAGAAGTCATGATAGCATTGAACAACTGGTTAGAAGTCATGATAGCATTGAATAACTGGTTAGAAGTCATTGAACAACTGGTTAGAAGTCATTGAACAACTGGTTAGAAGTCATTGAACAACTAGTTAGAAGTCATGATAGCATTGAACAACTGGTTAGAAGTCATTGAACAACTGGTTAGAAGTCATGATAGCATTGAACAACTGGTTAGAAGTCAGGATAGCATTGAACAACTGGTTAGAAGTCAGGATAGCATTGAACAACTGGTTAGAAGTCATGATAGCATTGAAAAACTGGTTACGGCTGCTGAAGAAGGAGTCAGAGGTCATGTCACAATGAAGTCATGTGATTTCTGGACTTATTCACTGTCCTGGCATATTATCTATGTGCTTTCACGTCATCTTTCTCACAGTGTAATAGACTGAATAACTCTTCGGGTTGATCGTCCTGTTAATAATGGATGCCACTATAACCTCCCCTTGTAGGCACATGGAAGTTGACATGGATGACAGTGACAATGATGAAGATTATGATGCTAACAAGGATGATGGAGCGGAATCAAGTGAGGATGATGATGATGAAGCTGACAACAGTGAAAATGAATACATACCTAAGGGAGGCAAGAAGACCAGCAGAACAGTGACAGGATCATCAAAAACCAGAAGGCCACCACGGGTAAGACATTATTATGTTTCTGTCTGGGTTTTTTCCTCTCTAAGATTGTGACCCCTACAAAACAGTTTAATGACCAGGACTAAGCTAGATCTTGTCAAAACGGCAGTAGCAATCCGCTAGCTGCGGAAAGCTGACCCATCTACATCGTCACAACAACAATAGCATAAACCAATCAGAGAACATTAAACAGTCGGAAACAACTTACAAGACACAACACCAAAATGGATTTTAAAACATCAGAACTTCAACTTAACAAATGAATGGTGTCCCACCCTCACTTTTCCATCTCCCCTCCCGTGTTTTGTCTTTTCCTTTTGTCCCTCTAACTTTTTTTATGTGTTGCATTTTGTTTCTACAGCAACACACCTAAAACACTATACTCGCAAAACATACAAGATGGAAATAAAGGGGTAACCCCCCCCCCCCCCCCCAAGATCTTGTTATACAAAGCCCTTTGCTATATTGCTAACTGGCGACAGTTCTGCTGTATGCTTTTACTGCCACCGTCTGCTGTAGTTCTACTTTACTGTTACTCCACTGTCACCCTGTGATATAGTTCTGCTATTCACTGTTGGTCCACTGCCACCCTGTGATATAGTTCTGCTATTCACTGTTTTCCCACTGCCACCCTGTGATATAGTTCTGCTATTCACTGTTGGTCCACTGCCACCCTGTGATATAGTTCTGCTATTCACTGTTGTCCCACTGCCACCCTGTGATATAGTTCTGCTATTCACTGTTGTCCCACTGCCACCCTGTGATATAGTTCTGCTATTCACTATTGGTCCACTGCCACCCTGTGATATAGTTCTGCTATTCACTGTTGTCCCACTGCCACCCTTTGATATAGTTCTGCTATTCACTGTTGTCCCACTGCCACCCTGTGATATAGTTCTGCTATTCACTGTTTTCCCACTGCCACCCTGTGATATAGTTCTGCTATTCACTGTTGCTCCACTGCCACCCTGTGGTATAGTTCTTCTGTTCACTGTTGCTCCACTGCCACCCTGTGGTATAGTTCTTCTGTTCACTGTTGCTCCACTGCCACCCTGTGGTATAGTTCTTCTGTTCACTGTTGCTCCACTGCCACCCTGTGGTATAGTTCTTCTGTTCACTGTTGCTCCACTGCCACCCTGTGGTATAGTTCTTCTGTTCACTGTTGCTCCACTGCCACCCTGTGATATAGTTCTGCTATCCACTGTTGTACCACTGCCACCCTTTGATATAGTTCTTCTGTTCACTGTTGCTCCACTGCCACCCTGTGATATAGTTCTGCCATTGACTGTTACTCTACTGCCACTCTGTGGTATAGTTCTGCTATTCACTGTTGTCCCACTGCCACCCTGTGATATAGTTCTACTATTCACTGTTGTCCCACTGCCACCCTGTGGTATAGTTCTACTATTCACTGTTGTCCCACTGCCACCCTGTGATATAGTTCTGCTATTCACTGTTGGTCCACTGCCACCCTGTGATATAGTTCTGCTATTCACTGTTGGTCCACTGCCACCCTGTGATATAGTTCTGCTATTCACTGTTGTCCCACTGCCACCCTGTGGTATAGTTCTGCTATTCACTGTTACTCCACTGCCACCCTGTGGTATAGTTCTGCTATTCACTGTTACTCCACTGCCACCCTGTGATATAGTTCTGCTATTCACTGTTGTCCCACTGCCACCCTGTGGTATAGTTCTGCTATTCACTGTTACTCCACTGCCACCCTGTGGTATAGTTCTGCTATTCACTGTTACTCCACTGCCACCCTGTGGTATAGTTCTGCTATTCACTGTTACTCCACTGCCACCCTGTGATATAGTTCTTCTATTCACTGTTGCTCCACTGCCACCCTGTGATATAGTTCTGCTATCCACTGTTGTCCCACTGCCACCCTTTGATATAGTTCTTCTGTTCACTGTTGCTCCACTGCCACCCTGTGGTATAGTTCTTCTATTCACTGTTGTCCCACTGCCACCCTGTGATATAGTTCTTAAATTAACTGTTGTCCCACTGCCACCCTGTGGTATAGTTATTCTATTCACTGTTTTCCCACTGCCACCCTGTGATATAGTTCTGCTATTCACTGTTGCTCCACTGCCACCCTGTGATATAGTTCTGCTATTCACTGTTGCTCCACTGTCACCCTGTGGTATAGTTCTTCTATTCACTGTTGCTCCACTGCCACCCTGTGGTATAGTTCTTCTATTCACTGTTTTCCCACTGCCACCCTGTGATATAGTTCTGCTATTCACTGTTGTCCCACTGCCACCCTGTTAGATAGTTCTACTATTCACTTTTGCTCCACCATGTGATATAAATTCTCTTACATTGACTCACTGAGTTCTCTCTGTCTTTGTGTACACATGTCAGCCATCTTGTTGTAGTAGACCCTTTTCTGACCTAGGATATCATACATGTCAGCCAAATTGTTGTAGTAGACCCTCTTCTGACCTAGGATATCATACATGTCAGCCAAATTGTTGTAGTAGACCCTCTTCTGACCTAGGATATCATACATGTCAGCCATATTGTTGTAGTAGACCCTCTTCTGACCTAGGATATCATACATGTCAGCCAAATTGTTGTAGTAGACCCTCTTCTGACCTAGGATATCATACATGTCAGCCATATTGTTGTAGTAGACCCTCTTCCGACCTAGGATATCATACACGTCAGCCATATTGTTGTTGTGGTCCCTCTTCAGCCCTAGGATATCATACATGTCAGCCATATTGTTGTAGAGGTCCCTCTTCTGCCCTAGGATATCATACATGTCAGCCATCTTGTTGTAGTAGACCCTCTTCTGCCCTAGGATATCATACATGTCAGCCATATTGTTGTAGTAGACCCTCTTCTGTCCTCGGATATCATACATGTCAGCCATCTTGTTGTAGTAGACCCTCTTCTGCCCTAGGATATCATACATGTCAGCCATATTGTTGTAGTAGACCCTCTTCTGTCCTCGGATATCATACATGTCAGCCATATTGTTGTAGTAGACCCTCTTCTGTCCTCGGATATCATACATGTCAGCCATATTGTTGTAGTAGACCCTCTTCTGTCCTCGGATATCATACATGTCAGCCAAATTGTTGTAGTAGACCCTCTTCTGCCCTAGGATATCATACATGTCAGCCATATTGTTGTAGTAGACCCTCTTCCGCCCTAGGATATCATACATGTCAGCCATATTGTTGTAGTAGACCCTCTTCCGTCCTCGGATATCATACATGTCAGCCATATTGTTGTAGTAGACCCTCTTCTGACCTAGGATATCATACATGTCAGCCATATTGTTGTAGTAGACCCTCTTCTGACCTAGGATATCATACATGTCAGCCATATTGTTGTAGTAGACCCTCTTCTGTCCTAGGATATCATACATGCAGCCTGTCTCTCTCTTGTCTCTTGTCTTTTCTCACAACATAAGTGCAAATATATGATTATTTTTCTTTTTTCCCCCCCTTGATTAGTTGCCAAAGAGAGCAGTTAATAGAGAAAGACCCACTTTACCATCTCGAAGTGGACCAAAACCGACACCAAAGAATGACCTTGAAGAGGCAAGAGCAAGGTATTTGGCATTTAGAATTGTTACATTCTGAAAACTCAAAAACATATATACATCATAAATGTTACTGAAACATATATACATCATAAATGTTACTGAAACGTATATACATCATAAATGTTACTGAAACATATATACATCATAAATGTTACTGAAACGTATATACATCATAAATGTTACTGAAACATATATACATCATAAATGTTACTGAAACGTATATTCATCATAAATGTTACTGAAACGTATATACATCATAAATGTTACTGAAACAGATATACTTCATAAATGTTACTGAAACGTATATACATCATAAATGTTACTGAAACAGATATACTTCATAAATGTTACTGAAACGTATATACATCATAAATGTTACTGAAACAGATATACTTCATAAATGTTACTGAAACATATACATCATAATTGTTACTGAAACGTGTATACATCATAAATGTTACTGAAACAGATATACATCATAAATGTTACTGAAACAGATATACATCATAAATGTTACTAAAACAGATATACATAATAAATGTTGCTGAAATGTATATACATCATTGTTACTGAAACGTGTATACATCATAAATGTTACTGAAACAGATATACATCATAAATGTTACTTAAACAGATATACATCATATATGTTACTAAAACATATATACATCATAAATGTTACTAAAACATATATACATCATAAATGTTACTGAAACATATATACATCATAAATGTTACTGAAACAGGTATACATCATAAATGTTACTGAAATGTGTATAAATCATAAATGTTACTGAAACATGTATACATCATAAATGTTACTGTCAAAGGTTATCACTAATTAGTCATGGTTCCAACTTCATCGCTGAAGGGTCATACCATAATTTCTCTTTTCCTGTGCCAGTGAAAACCGCACAAAATACCTAGCGCTATCGCATATGAAAAGTCGGACAGCCTGTCCTAGAACATCCAACACAACCGTTTAATGTATAAGACAACCACTAGAAGTGCCAGCATCAACAGTCTGTCACAAGAACTGCAGTTATCTGAATGTTAAGGGTTATTGTAACGGAAGTGTCACATCATTGACCCTGACCTCTGAAGGTCATATGTTCTTTTCCTTCTCCCTGCCAGTGGTTTTCTGACGCAGCATCAGGCTGTGCCGTGGGTTCACAAATGCAGCATTTTCCAAGGTCTCTAGTGATCCCTGCCGAGACTGCTTTGTATGATATCTGAGTACTCAGCCAGACTGAAATTAAACTGTTGATCTTTAAAGACTTAAAAAATGTTACAGTTATGCATTCTATAATATTTAAATTTCACATTGGTTTAATGTTTAAGATTAAATTCACTGTTGTATTGCTTCCCCCTCCTAGGCTTCATGTTTCTGCTGTACCAAACTGTTTACCCTGCAGAGAGAAGGAGTTCTCCGACATATTTGGTTTTGTGGAGAGCAAGATTCTTGATGGGACTGGAGGGTTTGTTTCTGCCAGTTTTTAGTTTGCAGTTTATAATGACTTCCCTTTGTTCTAGAACTTGAAGTTTGTAAATATGTGTAATTAGGTCTGTTAGTTCATAAATTTAGTCTTGTCTGTTTGTTTATAAACATAGTCGTGTCTGTTTGTTTATGTCTGCAGTTATGCCTTTTGTTTATAAATATAGTTGTGTCTGTTTTTTCATGTCTGTAGTCATGTCTGTTTGTTTGTTCATAAATGTAATGTCTGTTTGATCTGGTGCAGAATCCTGTCAGTTTGTGACTTTACAGTTTGAGACAGTCACCTACCAGTTAGCCCCACAGCTTAGACACCAAAATGTTTCCCTTCTAGCAAAACAGCAATGATAAATAGTATCTTCATCCCTTTTTTATGCTATCATTGCCAAGCATGTTCAATGAATAGTTTACTAGGTTACTAGAACAGGAAGTAACTACATGTGAAATAAGCTGTCTCTGTAAGGTCACTAACAACACAAAAAAGATACAGGGTTGCGAATACCAGCATTAGAGAGAAAGTTGGAATAAGACCATGTCAGGATTAATATTAGCAGACAAAGAATGAAATGGTTCAGCAGTTTAGAAAGAATGCAGCCAGACCAGACTGCATGTGAGTTTTTTACAGTAGAACATCTAAGAGAAAAGCGAGAGGAAGACCAAGAAAGTGATGGATAAATGGTGTAGCAGAAACCTGCAAAAAGATGAACAAATCCATCACCAAAGCCACCTGAGAAGCGCAAGACAAATACAAAAAACCAAGACATTGGGCTACAACCTTGAATCAGTGAGACGACAAAACCACGACATTGGGCTACAACCTGGTATCAGTGAGACGACAAAAGAAAATAGTATGATGGCTGGGTCAGTGCATGCCAGTTTGGCTGACTGGAATTACCCAGCTGCTTCAAGTGGAAACCTAAAAGAGCTCTTCAGGAGACAGCACGTCTGCTAGATACTGTTATCTGACTCTTACTGTTGTGTCTTGTCAGAGATGTCTGCCAGTATCAGCTCCACATATAAGGACCGGAGAATATTTACAGCTGGTGAGTAAATGCTGTTGTAACAAGTCTGGTGGCTTACTTGATGCTTGAAGAATCAGTCAGAGAATGAAGCTGAGACAGTGAGCACATGACCTGAACAATTCTATGCACACGCAGTGCTCTACGAAAGCTGCAGTAACAAGATCGCCACAGGTAATACTCTGCAAAAGCTGCAGTAACAAGATCGCCACAGGCAGTGCTCTACAAAAGCTGCAGTAACAAGATCGCCACAGGCAGTGCTCTACAAAAGCTGCAGTAACAAGATTGCCACAGGTAGTGCTCTATAAAAACTGCAGTAACAAGATCACCACAGGCAGTGCTCTACAAAAGCTGCAGTAACAAGATCACCACAGGCAGTGCTCTACAAAAGCTGCAGTAACAAGATCACCACAGGCAGTGCTCTACAAAAGCTGCAGTAACAAGATCACCACAGGCAGTGCTCTACAAAAGCTGCAGTAACAAGATCACCACAGGCAGTGCTCTACAAAAGCTGCAGTAACAAGATCACCACAGGCAGTGCTCTACAAAAGCTGCAGTAACAAGATCACCACAGGCAGTGCTCTACAAAAGCTGCAGTAACAAGATCACCACAGGCAGTGCTCTACAAAAGCTGCAGTAACAAGATCACCACAGGCAGTGCTCTACAAAAGCTGCAGTAACAAGATCACCACAGGCAGTCCTCTACAAAAGCTGCAGTGCTGAAAGAGCATGACATTCAAACAATGCTGATCTGGTAAAAGATGATAAAACAAGTATAAATGAGACGAGTACCATGAAGTTTGAGACACTTATTAGAGCTGGATCTATACATTTAGATTAATTAATGTTCAATAGATGACCCACAGACTAGACTTTGTTCCATGAAGTTGGTCTAGTTTACTCATAGATGGCAGATGCCACATGGAACAGCTTCATGAGTGAGCTGAACTTGTGTCAGCTAATTTCTGGCTGGCCTGTTTTATGATCAAACACAAATGGAACCATGTGAACTGTGTAGATATGGTGTTATTTACTTTCATGTTCTGATATTAAGCTGTGATGTCACCAGGTTTTGAATATCTAGGATGAGTAGGGAACAGCAATGGTGACTCAAGTCGGAAGAAAACTTTCTATAGCAATACAGAGACTAAACAGCGCAAAGAACTAACGTCACAGCACCTGCAAACAAGTTAAAATAAAAACCATTTTAAATGCATATTTCCTGTGGCAATTTATGCTTCAGCTGGTGTTAACTCAGGTTTAGCTGGTGTTAACTCAGGTTTAGCTGGTGTTAACTCAGGTTTAGCTGGTGTTAACTCAGGTTTAGCTGGTGTTAACTCAGGTTTAGCTGGTGTTAACTCAGGTTTAGCTGGTGTTAACTCAGGTTTAGCTGGTGTTAACTCAGGTTTAGCAGGTGTTAACTCAGGTTTAGCAGGTGCTGAGGTGTGGACTGTTACCCAATCAAAGAAGAAAATATTGTTGACATATTACAGAAAACATTCCTAGAATATCCTTGACCAAGAGGAAGAAAAACATCAACATCTGACATGATCTGAACATTGAGGAGAATTGGCTCATGAACAGCATCCTGCCCTGAAAGCTGGGGTACTTTTGCCATTGTAAACATGGGGGTGACCTGGGAATAACAGTGATGTGATGATGGATAGTTTGTTTGTTGATAGAAAATGAGGCAGTGGTCGAGCTCTGCTAAGCTCAGAACAAGACATTGACTAGGCATTGGTTATGAAAGCACATAGGGCTGGAGAATGGGCTAGAGAACATACTATTTGATGATGAGGTGTTCTCATATAACCAACAGCTTGTACCATGTTTAACTAATGTATTGTGTGTGTGTGCAGGTGTATGTACATCTCTGGAGGTGTTGTCATCTAACCACAACATGTTTAACTAATGTATTGTGTGTGTGTGCAGGTGTATGTACATCTCTGGAGGTGTTGTCATCTAACCACAACATGTTTAACTAATGTATTGTGTGTGTGCAGGTGTATGTACATCTCTGGAAGTGTTGTCATCTAACCACAACATGTTTGACTAATGTATTGTGTGTGTGCAGGTGTATGTACATCTCTGGAAGAGTTGTCATCTAACCACAACATGTTTAACTAATGTATTGTGTGTGTGCAGGTGTATGTACATTTCTGGAGTGCCTGGTACAGGCAAGACGGCCACTGTGAAGGAAGTGCTGAAAATTCTGGAGGCAGAGAGGGATGATGGAAACCTGCAAGATTTCAAGTTTGTGGAAGTCAATGGCATGAAACTCACGGAACCACGGCAGGCATATGTGGAAATACTGAAAGTGAGAGTCCTTGTTATCTTTCCTTTCATCTGGAGTCATCAGTTAATGTGACCTTATGGTAATTTTGACATAGTGTGGTTTCCTATTCTGTTATAACATGATTTTATCATTGCAGAGTTTCATGGAAGGATACGCTTATCTCATTTCCTGAAATGGTGGACATAGCTATTCCTTATATGTCCCAGAAGGGAGTAAGCATTGTATACGATTGGTGCCCATCCTGGTTCCGCTGGTGCCAACCCTGATTCAACTGGTGCCAGCCCTGGTTCAACTGGTACCCACCCTGGTTCAACTGGTACCCACCCTGGTTCAACTGGTACCCACCCTGGTTCAACTGGTACCCACCCTGGTTCAACTGGTACCCACCCTGGTTCAACTGGTGCCCACCCTGGTTCAACTGGTACCCACCCTGGTTTAACTGGTACCCACCCTGGTTCAACTGGTACCCACCCTGGTTCAACTGGTACCCACCCTGGTTCAACTGGTACCCACCCTGGTTCAGCTGGTGTCTGCAATGGTTCAGCAGGTAGGTGCTCACCCTAGATTCATTGTTCACTTGCCCTAGATTCAGCTGCCACTTGTCCTGGTGCTAACCCTGGTTCACTTCAGCTGGTATTAACAAGCTGATGGCATGAGCAAGCTTCACAGAATGCATAGAAACATACTGAAGCAAGATTGTGTTTCACTGCTGCATTCCTGTAGAACCTGCCCATTAGCATTGGGATGGTGAATTTTCATGTTCTGTGGTCTATTTCTGATAGGCTCTGACAGGCAAGGAAGCAACAGCCGACCATGCGGCCAACATCCTCAACAAAATGTTTACAGTTCCAGCTCCTCGATCCAGCCCCGTTGTGCTACTGGTTGATGAGGTCAGTTTTTACATGGTTGTTTTACAGTGAAGTGTGAATACATGGTGTCAGATATAGTTGTTTTACAGTGAAGTGTGAATTCAGTTATACATGGTGCCAGATATAATTGTTTTACAGTGAAGTGTGAATACAGTTGTACATGATGCCAGATATAATTGTTTTACAGTAAAGTGTGAATACAGTTGTACATGATGCCAGATATAATTGTTTTACAGTGAAGTGTGAATACAGTTGTACATGATGCCAGATATAATTGTTTTACAGTGAAGTGTAAATCTCCAGCCCTTAGCAACAAATGCTGTACTTCTGTGACAGCCTGGACACAAAATCTCCAGCCCCTAGCAACGAATGCTGTACTTCTGTGACAGCCTGGACACAAAATCTCCAGCCCTTGGCAACGAATGCTGTACTTCTGTGACAGCCTGGACACAAAATCTCCAGCCCTTAGCAACGAATGCTGTACTTCTGTGACAGCCTGGACACAAAATCTCCAGCCCTTAGCAACGAATGCTGTACTTCTGTGACAGCCTGGACACAAAATTTTTAGCCCTTAGCAACGAATGCTGTACTTCTGTGACAGCCTGGACACAAAATCTCCAGCCCTTAGCAACGAATGCTGTACTTCTGTGACAGCCTGGACACAAATCTCCAGCCCTTAGCAACGAATGCTGTACTTCTGTGACAGCCTGGACACAAAATCTCCAGCCCCTAGCAACGAATGCTGTACTTCTGTGACAGCCTGGACACAAAATCTCCAGCCCTTAGCAACGAATGCTGTACTTCTGTGACAGCCTGGACACAAAATCTCCAGCCCTTGGCAACGAATGCTGTACTTCTGTGACAGCCTGGACACAAAATCTCCAGCCCTTAGCAACGAATGCTGTACTTCTGTGACAGCATGGACACAAATCTCCAGCCCTTAGCAATGAATGCCGTACTTCTGTGACAGCCTGGACACAAATCTCCAGCCCTGATACGTGCGGTCCTTCATTGTGACGTGCCGAGCTTCATGCTGATGTGTGTGGTACCAAGATGAAATAGGCCAAGTAGGGGTAAAACAGTAGTTACTTCAATGCTTTCAAAATGTAGAGCTCGAACGCTATGCGTTAAGTTCCAACGGTTGTATTGATATATACAATCAGCAATGATTAACACAAAGGATACATATGCAAGTAATAATCAACTCGTTCAACCAAAGCTCGCTCGTACATCCATGTAATGATATGTCCTCACGATAGGTCGCAGTCCGACCTTGAGATCCAGACGATTTACTTTCTCCTCGGACAAGTCCGAATTAAGCAATGAAAGTATACCGGCTTACTGCCGAGAATGTAGTATTAACCAGCTTCCTGCTGAGGTCTTGGAGTCCCGGGGTAAAACGTCCTCAAGGATCCAACTTTATATAACGTTTGCTTCCGTGGGATCCCGGGGTAAAGCGTCCTCAAGGATTCCCATGTCCGTCTCCTTCGGACTATAAACATCAACTGCTTTGACAACAATATTATCATAACAACGTTACGTATTGTTTTGACGTCTTATTTGCTCACTCCGTACCGGTGCGTTCTGGTGCACATTCGCACGCGACAGCTTTTCCCCCCTCCCGAGGACGACCGAGCACTAGGACTTGACGTAGTCTCGGTCGGAAAACTGGATTCATGTCGCGGCAAACAGCACCAGTACGTGAGAGCAAATAAGAACACTTGAATACACACACACTCACTCCTCAATATATCGTCAATACATTACTAAATGCATGCAAAATATAGATTCCTGACTTCACTAAGCATTATTATCAACAACATTATCGTTATCCAAATTATTTTCATAACAGCATGCGTTTTAAATATCATGTAAATTCAACAAATAAACATCAAGCGTCTTCCAATGCCTCTGGGGTGCGCGACAAAAAATCGGCTAAGACATTTTCTTTCCCTGGGCGATAAATAACTGTGAAGTTGAACGTCTGTAGAAACATTGTCCATCTTAATATGCGTGAGTTTTTGATGGGTGCTGAGTTCAAGACTTCGAGTGGACGATGGTCTGTCAAGACAAAGAAGTGACTGCCATACAGGAATTGGGTAAACTTCCCTACTGCCCAAAAAATGGCTAGTGCCTCCCTCTAGCCCACGCTGTAACGGCATTCAGTAGGAGACAGCTTCCTGCTGGCATAAACAACAGGGAGTAGGGTGCCCTCTCTGGATTGCAACAACGTCCCACCAATCGCCACATCGGACGCATCTGTGGATACATAAAACGGCAGAGACAAATCTGGCAAACACAAGAACGGATTACTATTAAATGCCTTTTGTAATCTCTGGAGCGCGTCCTCGCACTCTCTCGTCCAGATAACCTTCGCTGGCATTCCTTTCATCGTCAATGAGGACAACACGGCTGTAATGGTTGAATAGTTAGGAATGAATTTGGCATAAAAGTTACATAAACCCAATAACGCACGCACTTGTTTCTTCGTTTTTGGTATAGGGATGTTAAGAATCTTACCCACCGTGGTGGCTTCGGGTTTACGGACCCCGTGTCCTACAACATGACCGAGGAACGTGACCTCCTCGAAAGCGACCTTCACTTTAGTTGGTCTAACTGTCAGATTAAACGATTTTATGCGTTCCAGTAATGTCTTTAGACCTCGAATATGTTCGTCTAAATCATTATGGAAAAGCAGAATGTCATCCAGATAATGAATAACATCATTACGACCCTGTAACAACTTGCGTACGAGGCGGGTGAACGTCGCCGGTGCTCCCGAAAGCCCGAAGACCATATAGTTGAAGTGAACCAAACCTTTGTTCGTCTGAAACGCGGTGTATTTTTTGGAATCCTCGTCTAAGGGAATCTGCCAATAACCCTTGGTAAGATCTAACTTTGTAAAATACCTAGCCTTCGACAATGCAACAAACATATCTTCCATATTTGGGATATTTTCAGCATCTACAACCGTGATTCGATTCAATTTTCGGAAATCTATGCAGATCCGAAGGCTTCCATCTTTCTTTCGGACAACCACTATTGGAAAAGCATAGGGTGATGTCGACGGTTCAATTATACCCCACTTAATCATGTTATCGATTTCCTTATCCACGGCATCCCGATAATGAAAAGGTATAACATATGGTTTCATTTTGATGGGTTTATGATCTATTAATTCAATGGAATGCACTGCTTCTGTCGTTCTACCCGGTATGTCCGATAATGTTTTGTCGAATGTAGCCAAAATACGCTTTATACGACGCACCATATCTGGTGGAACCGAGGGCGCGACTTCCACGTCTCTCCATGTTTCTCTGGGTACCAGTTCGGGTAGAGACAATTGATGAGCAGTGTCCACCTCGACATCATTGCTCTCTTCGTCAATGACGTGGCAGAATGCTGCCTCCATTTCTTCTTCTTGCAAATTATTGTCGGGTGCCTCAGCTGCTTCTAACACTTCAGACAAAACACCAGGGCGAGACTTAAACTCTTTAAGCATGTTTAGATTATATACTTTATGATGTCCTCTGACATCAATAAGATAGTCCACATCTGAAATTTTCTTAATAACTTTAAAAGGACCCTGCCATTTGGCTAATAAACAATTATTATTATCTTGCAGAAATATCAATACATCATCATTAGGCTGGAGAGTGATTAGTCTCCGGTTACGGTTAACGTATTCTCTTTGATGAGTACCAGCATTTTCCAAGTTGTCCAGTGCAACTTGACAACCTGTGATTATCTTGTTACGTAACTCCGTCACGAATTTAATATATGTTTGAGGCGCTTCTTGATCGCCTTTACCGATCCATATGTCCTTTAACAGCGACAGTGGACCTCTGGGATTAGCACCATATATAAGTTCGAAAGGTGAGAAACCTGTACTGCTCTGGGGCACCTCACGATAGGCGAACAAAACAGCAGGAAGGTATTTATCCCAGTCTGCTGGAAATTGATTAGTAACTTTGGCTAGCATAGCTTTTATTTTCTCATTTAAATTTTCTACTAGCCCATTTGATTGTGGGTGATATCTTGCAGAAAAAACGTGAGAGATAGCAAGTAATTTGTCAAAAGAGCGCATTGCTTCTGAAATAAATTGTGATCCGTGATCTGATAGGATTGTTTCAGGAAAGCCTACTCTAGAGAATATAAGCATCAATGCTTCTGCTACTGACTCAGTAGTGATATGACGTAACGGTACTGCTTCAACCCAACGTGATGCCATGTCTACAAATGTTAAAATGTATCTAAATCCTCTTTGTGAAACAACCGGTAGCGGACCCACAAGATCGACAGCAACTTTTTCGAAAGGACGACATGGAAGATAGACCCTTTGAATAGGAGGTTTCTGAGATGCATCCTTTCTCGCCATCATTTGACAGTCTTTACATGACCTACAGTATTTCCTAATATCTGTGGAACAACCAGGCCAATAGAATTGTGCAAGAACTCTTTTCTGTGTTTTACCTATACCTAAATGTGCAGCAAAAGGTGTGTCATGTGCAACTCTCAGAACATCGGTTCTATAACATAAAGGAACGACTAATTGTTTACATTGCATAACAGGTGATTTAAAATATCTCATTAAAATTCCATTCTTCACATAAAAATGCCATGTACCTTGCTTACATGTTCTAACACCGGTTACTTCTGCCCTAGAAAAGCATTTAGTGAGGGTAGGATCAGCTCGTTGTTGTATCGCAAAACTGTTTGTTTTCGGTGCGTGTGGTTCGTTTCCAGGCTCTTTTGGTCGTTCTGGTTCATTCTTTACTGCTTCTTCGCTAGCTATCCCACATGTGATAGCTATTTGGTTTTCGTTCGAAAGCTAAGAGTTGTCCATTTTCTAGGCCTATACTACGACCTAACTCCAAAAACTCAGCAAATGTAGACATATTTAAATAATATGACAATCAATATACAATATATGATATATATGATAGTGTGTGGTGAAGTGACGCCACAGGACAACGAATACTGCGTACTAGCAACGAATGCTGTAGTTCTGTGACAGTCTGGACACAAAATCTCCAGCCCTTAGCAACGAATGCTGTACTTCTGTGACAGCCTGGACACAACATTTTTAGCCCTTAGCAACGAATGCTGTACTTCTGTGACAGCCTAGACACAAAATCTCCAGCCCTTAGCAACGAATGCTGTACTTCTGTGACAGCCTGGACACAAAATCTCGAAGCCGCGCCGCCTGTGTTTACTATTTAAACTGCAATTCTCTAATCCTTTTCTACCTGTCAGCATCAGGGTTTGAAGAAGCATCAGGTGCGAACCTTGATATGTGATAGGTAGATGCTGTTATTTATGTCCTCATATATTTGAAGTTTCTTGAAGATGCTAACTGCCGACTTCCTGTTCACTCTTGTGTGGCCTCCTGTTCACTCTTGTGTGGCTTCCTGTTCACTCTTGTGTGGCTTCCTGTTCACTCTTGTGTTGCATCGTGTTCAGTCTTGTGTGGCTTCCTGTTCACTCTTGTGTGACTTCCTGTTAACTCTTGTGTGGCTTCCTGTTCACTCTTGTGTGGCTTCCTGTTCACTCTTGTGTTGCATCGTGTTCACTCTTGTGTGACTTCCTGTTCACTCTTGTGTGACTTCCTGTTCACTCTTGTGTTGCATCGTGTTCACTCTTGTGTGACTTCCTGTTCACTCTTGTGTGGCTTCCTGTTCACTCTTGTGTTGCATCGTGTTCACTCTTGTGTGACTTCCTGTTCACTCTTGTGTGACTTCCTGTTCACTCTTGTGTGGCTTCCTGTTCACTCTTGTGTGGCTTCCTGTTCATTCTTGTGTTGCATCGTGTTCACTCTTGTGTGACTTCCTGTTCACTCTTGTGTGACTTCCTGTTCACTCTTGTGTGACTTCCTGTTCACTCTTGTGTGGCTTCCTGTTCACTCTTGTGTGACTTCCTGTTCACTCTTGTGTGGCTTCCTGTTCACTCTTGTGTGGCTTCCTGTTCACTCTTGTGTGGCTTCCTGTTCACTCTTGTGTTGCATCGTGTTCACTCTTGTGTGACTTCCTGTTCACTCTTGTGTGACTTCCTGTTCACTCTTGTGTGGCTTCCTGTTCACTCTTGTGTTGCATCGTGTTCAGTCTTATGTTACTTCCTGTTCACTCTTGTGTTGCATCATGTTCAGTCTTATGTTACTTCCTGTTTACTTATGTCTTGAATTGTATTTTTTTTTTAGCTGGATCTCCTGTGGACCCGGAAGCAAGATGTGATGTACAACATTTTTGACTGGCCAACCAAAGAGATGGCCAGATTGATTGTATTAGCTGTGGCCAACACAATGGACTTGCCAGAAAGGATGATGATTAAGAGAGTTGCCAGTCGCTTGGTGAGAAATTTTAAAACATATATCTTTATATCCAAACTTTCTTCATAAAATATTGTTTATCAATTTTGTTTTTTATAATTTTGTTTGTTCTCTTATAATGTCAGGGAGCTCAAAAGGAACAGGTGGCACCCATGTGTTGTTATCACAGCTAATGAAAAGAATTGCACTGACATTGCTGTTTACCCCACATGTTGTAAACACTGAAATGGTCTGACTGAATGTAGCATGTGACACTGGGGAAGCTGTTCGGTCATGATCATGTGGTAGCATGCGACACTGGGGAAGCTGTTCGGTCATGATCATGTGGTAGCATGTGACCCTGGGAAAGCTGTTCGGTCATGATCATGTGGTAGCATGCGACACTGGGGAAGCTGTTCGGTCATGATCATGTGGTAGCATGCGACACTGGGGAAGCTGTTCGGTCATGATCATGTGGTAGCATGCAACACTGGGGAAGCTGTTCGGTCATGATCATGTGGTAGCATGCGACACTGGGAAAGCTGTTCGGTCATGATCATGTGGTAGCATGCCACACTGGGGAAGCTGTTCGGTCATGATCATGTGGTAGCATGCGACACTGGGGAAGCTGTTCGGTCATGATCATGTACGGGCATTCTTGACGCTTGAGTGGAAGTATGATGGCAGTTGAAAGGAAATGGATCAACGTGGACTTGAACATAAATGGATCTATCAAATAAACCAAGTCTAGGGAATAGTAAGACGTGATCTTCGCAGTGAATGGTGGTGAAAGTCCAACAGGAACAGTCTTAAAAACTCCCGGTACCAGTCAACAACGCGACAGTAAAAAAACAACTTCAAGGAATCTCAGTTTTAATCAACTTGATAAGGCCATGTGTTCTCAGTTTCGACACTGGTGTATTCACAAATTCTCTAGTTCTGATATAAATGTGTCAAACAAATGATAGGTGGGAAAATTAACTCACCAAAATTAAATAAACGCAAATTACTCGTGACATCCTCACTCTCTATATTTTGACATTAAAGCACCTCTGTAGGTCAGCACCTCTGTAGGTCAGCACTTCTGTAGGTCAGCACTTCTGTAGGTCAGCACCTCTGTAGGTCATCACTTCTGTAGGTCAGCACTTCTGTAGGTCAGCACTTCTGTAGGTCAGCACTTCTGTAGGTCAGCACTTCTGTAGGTCAGCACCTCTGTAGGTCAGCACCTCTGTAGGTCAGCACCTCTGTAGGTCAGGACCTCTGTAGGTCAGCACTTCTGTAGGTCATCATCTGTAGGTCAGCACCTCTGTAGGTCATCACCTCTGTAGGTCAGCACTTCTGTAGGTCAGCACTTCTGTAGGTCATCACTTCTGTAGGTCAGGACCTCTGTAGGTCAGCACTTCTGTAGGTCAGCACTTCTGTAGGTCAGCACCTCTGTAGGTCATCACTTCTGTAGGTCAGCACTTCTGTAGGTCAGCACTTCTGTAGGTCAGCACTTCTGTAGGTCAGCACCTCTGTAGGTCATCACTTCTGTAGGTCAGCACCTCTGTAGGTCATCACCTCTGTAGGTCATCACTTCTGTAGGTCATCACTTCTGTAGGTCATCACTTCTGTAGGTCATCACTTCTGTAGGTCAGCACCTCTGTAGGTCAGCACCTCTGTAGGTCAGCACTTCTGTAGGTCAGCACCTCTGTAGGTCATCAATTCTGTAGGTCAGCAATTCTGTAGGTCGGCACCTCTGTAGGTCGGCACCTCTGTAGGTCGGCACCTCTGCAGGTCGGCACCTCTGCAGGTCGGCACCTCTGCAGGTCGGCACCTCTGCAGGTCGGCACCTCTGCAGGTCGGCACTTTTGTAGGTCAGCACCTCTGTAGGTCAGCACTTTTGTAGGTCAGCACCTCTGTAGGTCAGCACCTCTGTAGGTCAGTACCTCTGCAGGTCAGCACTTCTGTAGGTCAGCACTTCTGTACGTCACCACCTCTGTAGGTCTGCACCTCTGTAGGTCAGCACTTTTGTAGGTCATCACTTCTGTAGGTCACCACCTCTGTAGGTCAGCACTTCTGTAGGTCGGCACCTCTGTAGGTCAGCACCTCGACCTTGGAAACCAGTAAGTTTTACAGTTTCAGTTGGCAGCTAAAATACTGATAAGCAAGAATAGGTCGTCACTTCCCAAAATTCACCTTGTAGACACAATGGTTTATGTCCCAGCATAGAAGCTGGTCTTCACTGTGGGGTCCAGGGTACTCACCTATCACATGATTCAGAGATTTTGTCCGTGTTCTTTTTTAAATACATTTCATGTGCCCAAACCATCCTGGTATTTCTCTGTCCGTCACTTCCTCAGTCCCTACTTTTTGCTGTCACAGTTATGGTTCTTATCTCAACCAGCACCGTGTGCCAGATATTAGGACTGTTCCAAGATATTTGTGCCATTTCACTTGTAAACAAAAAGTTCCTATTTTCTTTGATCTTTGTCTGGGGCATTTCTTTGTGACTGATCTCTGTACAGTGATATCAACATACACTCAGTGGACCTGTCAAATGCCTGAAGTCTGTAGAAATACAACACAGATCAATCAAAATCAGGATGCCAACTGTCAAACACCATTCCTGATTTCTATCCTCTATTTTCCAACAGGGATTGACTCGAATGACATTCCAGCCGTACACATTCCGCCAGCTGGAGGAAATAGTGGCTTCTCGTTTGAAAGGCCTGCAAGTCTTTGACAGCGACGCAGTCCAGTTAGCAGCCAGGAAGGTATGTACTCTCCTGATAGTTTGTATTACGTATTCACTTTTGTAATGCTTTGTTGCTCTGTTCATCTTTTAATACTTGCAGTGTCTGCACATCTGTTCATTGTTTAATACTTGCAGTGTCTGCACATCTGTTCATTGTTTAATACTTGCAGTGTCTGCACATCTGTTCATTGTTTAATACTTGCAGTGTCTGCACATCTGTTCATTGTTTAATACTTGCAGTTTTTGCACATCTGTTCATTGTTTAATACTTGCAGTGTCTGCACATCTGTTCATTGTTTAATACTTGCAGTTTTTGCACATCTGTTCATTGTTTAATACTTGCAGTGTCTGCACATCTGTTCATTGTTTAATACTTGCAGTGTCTGCACATCTGTTCATTGTTTAATACTTGCAGTGTCTGCACATCTGTTCATTGTTTAATACTTGCAGTGTCTGTACATCTGTTCATTGTTTAATACTTGCAGTGTCTGCACATCTGTTCATTGTTTAATACTTGCAGTGTCTGCACATCTGTTCATTGTTTAATACTTGCAGTGTCTGCACATCTGTTCATTGTTTAATACTTGCAGTGTCTGCACATCTGTTCATTGTTTAATACTTGCAGTGTCTGCACATCTGTTCATCTTTTAATACTTGCAGTGTCTGCACATCTGTTCATTGTTTAATACTTGCAGTGTCTGCACATCTGTTCATTGTTTAATACTTCCAGTGTCTGCACATCTGTTCATCTTTTAATACTTGCAGTGTCTGCACATCTGTTCATCTTTTAATACTTGCAGTGTCTGCACATCTGTTCATTGTTTAATACTTGCAGTGTCTGCACATCTGTTCATTGTTTAATACTTGCAGTGTCTGCACATCTGTTCATCGTTTAATACTTGCAGTGTCTGCACATCTGTTCATTGTTTAATACTTGCAGTGTCTGCACATCTGTTCATCGTTTAATACTTGCAGTGTCTGCACATCTGTTCATATTTGTGCTTTAACATTGCATCATGAAATACTTGCAGTGTCTGCACATCTGTTCATTGTTTAATACTTGCAGTGTCTGCACATCTGTTCATTGTTTAATACTTGCAGTGTCTGCACATCTGTTCATGTTTGTGCTTTAACATTGCATCATGAAATACTTGCAGTGTCTGCACATCTGTTCATGTTTGTGCTTTAACATTGCATCATGAAATACTTGCAGTGTCTGCACATCTGTTCATGTTTGTGCTTTAACATTGCATCATGAAATACTTGCAGTGTCTGTACATCTGTTCATGTTTGTGCTGTAACATCAAACATTGCATCATGAAGTACTTGCAGTGTCTGCACATCTGTTCATGTTTGTGCTTTAACATTGCATCATGAAATACTTGCAGTGTCTGCACATCTGTTCATGTTTGTGCTGTAACATCAAACATTGCATTATTAAGTACTTGCAGTGTCTGTTCATGTTTATGCTGTAACATCTAACATTGCATCATATAATACATATTTATTCACTCTGAAACAGCCTATGCGTTACCATGTTAAAATCAGTGGTGCGCCCCCCGCCCCCAATAATCTCAACACAGTGCAGGAGCTCGGTGTCACTAATAAGAATCCAACTAGGACTGCCAGATTCATGAATACTTGAAATATTGTGTGTTGTGGTAGGCTTTCTGAGGCTTGTGATTGAACCTGGCAACAGCTTCTTGGACCTACTCTTGTTGAATACTAACTCCAGGCAATTTTAGAACAGGTGCAAATTGCTCATAGAGCCCACAGTTTTTTTTTTTTGCTGTTGTCCGGCAAATGATCCCTGACCCCAGGATTATCTGTAGTGGTCTAGACAAGATACCCTGTTGCTGGGAATTGAACCACTTTTGGTTAGCCAGCTGACTGTCCACTGCACCACAACCTTCTGATTTATGTTGCAGTAGGTAAGCCAGTCTTTGCTTAGTAAACTTGTATTGCGATCATTATCATCATCATAAACCGCTTCTGCCGCTAAGCACCGCAGGGAGAAACAATTTTTGATTCAGTGCACACAGGCTGGCACTGGCTATTATCATGTTGTAAAGACATAAAGTGTCTTTAATGTTGTCAATTCATTAGCTGCTGGTCATCCTTTTGTAGCTGATCTTCTGAGACCAGTGCCTGTGATGGTGTATGATGTTTCTGCATTCCAACGAGATGACCAAACCACTTGACCTGCTGTTTCTTAATGAGCTTGGTACAAGGTGCTACTCGCACAATCTTTCTGATAGTATCATTATTCACTCCTTTTCATGTGGCTAGTTTGGTGACTATACTCGGGTATCTCATCTTACATATCGTGATTGTGTGTATGGGCTTTAAAATGTTTTGTGATGTGACATTTGACCTCAGGTAGCAGCAGTGTCAGGAGATGCTCGACGTGCCCTAGATATTTGCCGCCGATCAACAGAGATTGCAGAATCTCGAACTGAAGATGCTGGAGGAGAAGCAGTTGTGAGCATGTCAGACATAAACGCAGCGGTGGAGGAAATGTTTTGTTCTCCAAAGATCTTGGCTATCAGGTTAGTGCTGGCCACTGTGTGACTGTATTTCAGATAAGTGTCAGGTTAGTGCTGTACGACTGTATCTCAGATGAGAGTCAGGTTAGTGCTGGCCACTGAATGACTATCTCAGATGAGTGTCAGGTAAGTGCTGGCAGCTGTATGACTGTATCTCAGATGAGTGTCAGGTTAGTGCTGGCCGCTGTGTGACTGTATCTCAGATGAGTGAAAGGTCCTAAATTCTACTATTACTTGCCCATGTCAGTATGTGTTCTTCCTGTGAAGTAGCTCTCGTTTGATTTTCTGTTTGTTGGTCTAAAATTAGTATGTCATTGTGCATGCAGAGTGGCTTATAGAATGTGTGGGCTGTGTGATGGCTGATAGAATGTGTGGGCTCTGTCATGGCTGATATACAAGGAGCATCTACCGTAATCTGCCCTTCTCTCTTCCTCTGACTTCTTGTGTGGGGTGAATTATGTGCTTGCTGTTTCCACGATATTGGTTGCTAAGCCATTGCTACAAAAAGATTCATCATTTACTTTCAACATTACATAATGACACCGTGGCTGACAGCCTGTTTTTCTTGATATTGAAATGTATATGTAGGGTTTGATAAACTTGGGACAGCTCACTAACTTGCTCTAGGAGATGAAAAGTCTGTTGTGTCAAATACCCTTCACTACATTCACCTAGTGTGGCCGAAAGTTCTGGTTGTTCTTACACTTCTGGATCGTGGGTTTGTTCCAGAATCTAAGCTGTGCCTGTACGTAGATATTTTTAGAAATTTATAAAAGATCATGCTTTTTTATATGCAGACTGTTGGTTGCTTGCCTCTCAGGAAGATGCATTCTAACTTTGAAGGAGCTATCCCTAATTACTGTTTTGTCAGAGAGCAGTGGATCTATTGCCGCCATCTCCACAGTGGGGCCCAAAACCCACACAGAGAGTGAAGATTTGAGATCCAGTAAATACGAACTCTTAACCTCAAATCTACAGTGATACCTGTGTATTATCTCTGTCTTTGGTTCAATAACTGACATGTGTCAACAGCCCCCCCCCCCCCCCCCCCCCTCTCATCCCGACAGCTGCACATTTGCATTATCAGTACCCTTGGTTAAAATAACTGACATGTGTCAACAGTTGTTTGATAGCTACACATTTGTGTTATCTGAGATGGAATGTTTCAGGAATCTGGCTGTACAAGAACAGCTCTTTCTCAAGGCTGTTGTGGCCGAGTTTCAGAGATCTGGGATAGAGGAGGCTGATTTCTGTAAGCTGTATGACCAGCACCAGACTTTGTGCAGATTTGAAGGTACTTACTCGCCCTGTCTGTCTGTCAGCATGCCTGTCTGTGTGATACTTATTGTACTGTTTTATCGTCAAAGCTGATTACAGTGTATGTGTAATGACCCTGCTTTGCATGGTCCTCACGATTACATAGTGGCAAGCAGAAAGTCCGTGCAACAAGGGACAGCACGAGATACTTGTGCCTAGTCGAGGAAGCGAGGGAAAGCCCGAGCTAGACTCGTGGTCAGTCGATCATCAGAAGTCAGAGAAGACGGTTGTAGTATTTGAAGATGTCGTCTTTATGTTGCGCAAATGGTGAATGTTCGAATATGTCGCGAGTGATAAAGTGTGAATAATGTTTGAACATGTGAAATAAATGGACCAGAATAAACTGACAGAATGTACAAAGAAGCTGAGCGGCGTTTGTGTTGTCAACCCTAGATGTTAAAGTCGGTGTAAGCCAAGGTTAATTCCAAGTGAAGCACAGATTCATTCCAAGTCTACGTTTTGACTCATTTCAAGTGGGGAGCTTGTCCGAAGGAAATTCGAAACCACGCGGACCTCAATCATATGAAAACAATTTTTCTTGCAAGGTAAGATAAACATGCGGAAAACAGTGTACAATACAACGTTTTCACCCGAGCAGAACCTATTAACATAGTAAGCTGCCACAGGTCAGCTGCCGACCAATGAAAACCGGTGTGTCATCTACGCCCGGCCACACACCGTATCACTAAGTTTTGCGGATTCAGGAAGTTTCATGTTCACCAGAGTTACACATCGTAAATATTTTAAATCTGGTTTGTAAATTAAATCAGGTTTGTGACCATTATTGTTTCGCGGAAACTAGCGGACTATGAACCAATTTTATTTACTGTTACGATCAGTTTGCTTACTACGGTGACATTTTTGCATCGATTGTGCGTTTATCAGAATGGCATCTAAAAGGTTGGTAAAAAGTAAGAACATGTTGTCGCAAGTATCTTCAGCGACAACAATGAAAGATACATCGATAAGCAACCAGAAGATCAAGATGTGCATTTTTTGCAAGTACCAGCACAGTTCTTCAACTATCTGCGACAGAGATCCTAAATATTCAAGTTATATTGAAGACTTGGTAAATAAAAAGTGGCAAAATAAACAAAAGAATAACCTTTAAAAAGTAAGGCATTCGGACATATTGTAAAACACTGTGTTGGGAAACAGATGTTAAAAGACAAGAAGAAAAGATCCTTGTTTGCAAAAACTAATTCAGTTACAATGGATTCAGAAGGTATTCCTACTCTAGATTGTTCACTGTGCTACTGGAGAAAGAATCAAGGAAAAGTTACAGCTCCACATATCATGTTTATAGGAAAAAGCCAATTGAAATGTCCAGGAACTAAAAAAATTAGGAACGAAATCGTAATTGCAGAATTAGAATCCAGCAAAAGTAGTAATACAAGCAAGAAAGTTGAAATGAAAAAGACAGCAGCCACTGAAACAGAGAAAAAGTCAAACTCAGAAACAATGGAAATTAATCAGCAACCATCAACTTTTCTAGAAATGAAATCTAAATCTGATTCAACCAAGAGTCACAATCAAGGAAAAAATGGATTGGAAACGCAAAGTATGAAACAGGCAGACTGTGAAATACTAATAGATAAACAAGCCATGAATAAATAATTTTCATTATTAGAGGACAATAAATATATAGATTATGATCAATTCCACAGAGCAACAAGTCAGAAATGTTGGGAAAAGTCAACTAAATGTTTGATAAACAAGAAACCAGCACAAATGCAATTAAATAGAAAATCATATATCACTTTGGTACGTGAAAATGTTTTAGAAAAATCAGATTATAGCGGAGAAATGGTTTACTGTTTAGACAGAGAAGGTTTTTGTATGCGATTTTGGACAGCTTATATTTATTTGAAGTCGCCCTATATATCAAAACCATTGAAAGTAGCGGTAACGGACAACATCGGAACAGATGTGATTCTGGGATACAAAGACTTCAACATTAGAGACTGTTCTGATGAAGACATACGAGTCTGGGAACAAAGTCATCTCCATCAACAAAAATAACAGCTGATTCAAGGAAAATTACCATCAACTGAAGTATGACTATTTACTAACTTGAAACTATACGGTCCATCATCCTGAACATCAACATCAAGCAAACATATCACCATGCATAAAGTTCAAGATTATCATCAGTCAGGAAGCTACATAGAGCCACCTTCAACCTAACGATCAAGAGTAAACCTGAACAATTATCAAGAATTGATATTTTCCCATTCTTCACCTTCAAGATTCTCATATTTCAACCAAAATCAGAAATCACCAACCTGTACTGTACAGGGAATGAACAAAAACATATCAGCCACTGAATTATTCAAACCTGAAAATCACCATCAAGGAACACGAAATTGTTTTTTCTCCAGATACCTCAAAATCGACCATTGAAACATTTCAAAATCATCAAATTCTAAGCAACACTTCAAGAGCATCTATACAATATCAAGATCGCCGAGTACCAAACGTATCATAAAATAAAGAATGCGAGAACAATGAAGCATTCCTACAGTTTAAGCACAATCAACAGCCACAAAAATGTCAGTATTACATCGTGTGTACACAAATATTAATTGTGAAAGTTAATCAAGTTAATTATCTAGTGTTTGTGTAAATTTCAAATTAATGAAGTATTTTAAAAAAGTGCATAAACACTTGATTTCATTTATAAAAAGCAGCCATATACTGTGTGTATTGAACACCTTCCGTTTAATCCCATTACTAATTATTTTAAAGGTGGCATATCAGTGTATGCAGTCACTGAACACTGTTAATAGTATTGTTTCAACTTATAAAATTATAATATTTTTAGTCAGTATATTTGCAAGATTACCAGCTATCCTACCAAGAGAGGCCCCAGAGCAGAACAGATTGTCAAGAGAACCAGGGAATGAGAACCTTAAAAGCAATCGCCAGAGTATAGGCATGACACACACAGCCTGCAGGGATGGATCAAGATCAAGGATAGTTAATGGAATGAATGTGAATGGAAGAGAATAAAACAGGTATGAATGATGAATGAAAGATTTGTGAATAGTATTTTAATAGTGTACATGTGTTTTACTTAGGTTAGTAGTTCATTAGGATTATTTTAGGATTCATGTAATTACAGTTAGTAGTTCATTAGGAATAGTTTAGTATTCATGTAATGGCAGTAGTTCAAAAGTTTTAAAAAAAAAAAAAAAAAAAAAATTCTCTCCCCAGGAACAGCACAGAAGAATTAGATCAAGATTTAGCGATAGATCATATAGAAATCTTTTTCCACAGAATGACTTTGATAAAAATATTTAATTTGAAATGTTTAGCATAGGTACACAGCACAGGGACATTGTAAAGTTGTCCACCATACCCAAGATTAGGAACGGCTATAGTTATACTGATGCTTAGACAGACTGATGGTAAAGAAAGAGTTCACACATCAAAGCACAAGCATAGTAGAGGAGTTGAACTCATCTGTATCCATCTAAAGGGGGAAAAGGTGTGTGGGATTCCTTGGAGTTGAATACTCTGTTAAAGGTGATGTAGAGACTGGTGGGGAAACCCTAAACTCTATTAAAAATCATCCCAATAGTCATCGTTTCATCTGAGATTCCTTGGAGTTGAATACTCTGTTAAAAGTGGTTATAGACTTGGAGGAAACTCTAAGATCTATGAAAAATATATCTCAACTATCATTGTTTTCATGTTGGATTCCTTGGAGTTGGGTAATTACTCTGTGAAAGGTGAGACTTTGGTCTATGAAAAAATATCTCAACATGCATTTTTTTTCTGTGGTAGATTCCTTGGGGTTGGGTAATTACCCTGTAAAAGGTGTTATAGAGGCTTTTGGGAAACCGAAAGCACTATGATAAATATATCTCACCACTGTCATATCGGCTAAGAGTCCTTGGGGTTTAACACCCTGTAAAAGGTGATGTAGAAATATTGGTTTAATCCAATTTTTTATGTAGTAAATATCTCAAAGCTGACCATTATCATCACCATCATCACAATGATCATTTCACTTGAAGCTGATAGAATAGATATAGTGACGAAGCTATACTACAGATGCAATACCTGCAAAGATAAAGATACCCTTCACCAGTTTAGTACTAGAAAAAGCATAGTAGAAAATTAAAATAAAGGCAGTAATTTAGGCTAATTAGGAACACTAATACCGAATAGCGAAGTTAGATTTTAGTGCTATTGATTCATTTAAAAGTTAAATGGATTATGATACTTGATGTTCCATAAAGTATCATTTTGTTAAAAGGCGGGAGGATGTAATGACCCTGCTTTGCATGGTCCTCACGATTACATAGTGGCAAGCAGAAAGTCCGTGCAACAAGGGACAGCACGGGATACTTGTGCCTAGTCGAGGAAGCGAGGGAAAGCCCGAGCTAGACTCGTGGTCAGTCGATCATCAGAAGTCAGAGAAGACGGTTGTAGTATTTGAAGATGTCGTCTTTATGTTGCGCAAATGGTGAATGTTCGAATATGTCGCGAGTGATAAAGTGTGAATAATGTTTGAACATGTGAAATAAATGGACCAGAATAAACTGACAGAATGTACAAAGAAGCTGAGCGGCGTTCGTGTTGTCAACCCTAGACGTTAAAGTAGTGCAAGTTGTGTAGCAGTAAACATCTAGAGAGTGAGCCGTGGCGAAAGCCAATAGGTAGTAAGCCAAAGTGCAGTCCAAGTCAAGCCAAGGTTTATTACAGTATGTCATTGGTTTTAGTTGCACTGTCACAATTCTACAGTTTCTAGATCACAAATTGCTTCGTAATCAGTTGTGTAGTTCCATCACTAACATTTCTGTAGTTGTTTAAATGATGATTGTAGAGTTACACAACTAACAGTAATTTAGTTAGTTCACTAATGATTGTAAAGTTACACAACTAACAGTCATATAGTTCACTAATGATTGTATTGTTACACAACTAACAGTTATATAGTTTTTTCACTGATGATTATAGACTTACACAACAGTCATATAGTTCACTAATGATTGTAGAGTTACACAATCAGTCATATAGTTTCTTCACTGATGATTTTAGATTTAACAACTGACAGTCATATAGTTCACTAATGATTGTATAGTTACACAACTAACAGTCATATAGTTTCTTCACTGATGATTGTAGAGTTACACAACTGACAGTCATATAGTTTATTTACTAATGATTGTATAGTTACACAACTGACAGTCATATAGTTTATTTACTAATGATTGTATAGTTACACAACTGACAGTCATATAGTTTACTAATGATTGTATAGTTACACAACTGACAGTCATATAGTTTACTAATGATTGTAGAATTTCACAATTGACAGTCATAAAGTCCCTTCATCAATGATTTTAGAGTTACACAACTAACAGTTATATATTTCCTTCACTAATGATTGTAGATTTACACAACTGACAGTCATATAGTTCCTTCACTGATGATTGTAGAGTTACACAGCTGACAGTTATATAGTTTCTTTACTGATGATTGTAAAGTTACACAGCTGACAGTTGTATAGTTCTTCACTAATGATTGTAGAGTTACACAACTGACAGTTATATAGTTTCTTCACTGATAATTTTAAAGTTACACAGCTGAAAGTTATTTAGTTCTTCACTAATGATTGTAGAGTTACACAACTAACACTTATTACGATGAAAATATTTGAGCAAGATCCATTGATAGGTATTAGGTGTCATCATGTTGTTTTATATGTTGGTGTACTGATCAGATTCTGTCTCTCCCCAGGAATCCATGTCCCAACAATGACTGAACTGTCGGCCATTTGCTACAGGCTTGGAAGCATGCGTCTGCTACTCACTGAGCCAGGATCTCGAGACCTCAGCATGCGGATTCGACTCAACGTCAGCCAAGATGACATCATGTATGCACTTAGGGCTGACATCCCAAGCTAAAATTTACGTCCTTTTTCTCCATTTCTCATCAATTTTGGTTTTTGTTGGACTTCTGATTGATGCTCTGTTTGATCACCCTGCCTTTGCCAGTGTCTTTGAGAATTCTTTCTTTATGAATGTTAGTGTGACTTTTAGATTCTGTGTATTTGAAACAAGAATTATTGTATTGAATGTTGTACAATGAAATTATGTTGTTTATGCAGCTGTTATGTGAAACACCCCAGTAACTCCAGTTGTAAGTGTTTTCACCATATGCCAGACAAGACAGATATATTTGGTGTACGTGCCAGCTAGAGGCATGTATTAGTAACTTGTGCCGCCTGCTGTGTGAGTAACTGGCCAGAAGTACAATGTGACATTACCAGCTGGCATCAGAAGTTGAGTCTGACAAGAGCACACCACCTGGCACGATTTCAGTCCTGCTGACATTAGCACACCACCTGGCATGATTTCAGTCCTGCTGACAATAGCACACCACCTGGCATGATTTCAGTTCTGACAATAGCACACCACCTAGCATGATTTCAGTTCTGCTGACAATAGCACACCACTTGGCATGATTTCAGTTATGCTGACAATAGCACACCACCTGGCATGATTTCAGTCTTGCTGACAATAGCACACCACCTGGCATGATTTCAGTCTTGCTGACAATAGCACACCACTTGGCATGATTTCAGTCTTGCTGACAATAGCACACCACCTGGCATGATTTCAGTGCTGCTGACAATAGCACACCACCTGGCATGATTTCAGTCCTACTGACAATAGCACACCACCTGGCATGATTTAAGTCTTGCTGACAATAGCACACCACTTGGCATGATTTCAGTCCTGCTGGCAATAGCACACCACCTGGCATGATTTCAGTCCTGCTGGCAATAGCACACCACTTGGCATGATTTCAGTCTTGCTGACAATAGCACACCACCTGGCATGATTTCAGTCCTGCTGGCAATAGCACACCACTTGGCATGATTTAAGTCCTGCTGGCAATAGCACACCACCTGGCATGATTTCAGTCCTGCTGACAATAGCACACCACCTGGCATGATTTCAGTCCTGCTGGCAATAGCACACCACCTGGCATGATTTCAGTCCTGCTGGCAATAGCACACCACTTGGCATGATTTCAGTCCTGCTGGCAATAGCACACCACCTGGCATGATTTCAGTTCTGCTGACAATAGCACACCACCTGGCATGATTTCAGTCTTGCTGACAATAGCACACCACCTGGCATGATTTCAGTCTTGCTGACAATAGCACACCACTTGGCATGATTTCAGTCTTGCTGACAATAGCACACCACCTGGCATGATTTCAGTCCTGCTGACAATAGCACACCACCTGGCATGATTTCAGTCCTACTGACAATAGCACACCACCTGGCATGATTTCAGTCTTGCTGACAATAGCACACCACTTGGCATGATTTCAGTCCTGCTGGCAATAGCACACCACCTGGCATGATTTCAGTCCTGCTGGCAATAGCACACCACTTGGCATGATTTCAGTCTTGCTGACAATAGCACACCACCTGGCATGATTTCAGTCCTGCTGGCAATAGCACACCACTTGGCATGATTTCAGTCCTGCTGGCAATAGCACACCACCTGGCATGATTTCAGTCCTGCTGACAATAGCACACCACCTGGCATGATTTCAGTCCTGCTGGCAATAGCACACCACCTGGCATGATTTCAGTCCTGCTGGCAATAGCACACCACCTGGCATGATTTCAGTCCTGCTGACAATAGCACACCACCTGGCATGATTTCAGTCCTGCTGACAATAGCACACCACCTGGCATGATTTCAGTCCTGCTGACAATAGCACACAACTTGGCATGATTTCAGTCCTGCAGACAATATTCTGAGATGAGCATTTAGATGTTTAAATTGTGTTTGTTTGTTCAGATGGAATTATTTGTTTGATTTTTGGATCCTAGTCAGGGAATCTACCCAGCCATATCTTCCTGCGCACATTTAATGTCACGGCCATTGATTAAGGGGAGGGTCCACAACCAGTTTGGAGCCCTATATCTATCAACTAACATTACTGTAAGTTAGGGCAGGAGAATGCTACTTGAAAGACAACTAGAGGCCACAGAAATCAAATCAGACATGGTGAATGTGATGCCATGGCATTTTGGTCATCCACACTCATGTTTGGAAATACTGTAATTTTTGACAGTAATTTAATCTCATGATACATGGTCCAAGTATTTATTTTTATCCGTTGTGCCCTCGTTGAGCATATAAAAATAATTTTTTTGGTAATATTTACTAATATTGGATGGCACTGCATTTGTTATCAAGCCGCTTCCATTTTGGATATCACAGTAAACTAGTTTTCTTGATGCACTTTAGTGTCCATTGTTATCTTTGACAGCTTGTCTACTCACAGATGATTTGTTTGTATAATGTCACAGTTGTTCATGCCATCGGCCTGACAACAGTCAGATTGTCAGTCTTTCCCTCCAAAGAAAAATGTTCTGGTGAAAATACCCGTGACCCATTTTGCAGAAAGATATAACTAATGTAACAGATCCAGAGATGTGCAAACAGGCAAGGCAGTCAAATGTATCAGCTCAGATGACAAGCTGATCACATCTGGTCTCCAGGATGTGGTTCCTGATCCAATCAGCCAGAACCATCACTCAGACTTGTCTGCTTCTCAGTAAAACAGACACCATGACAACATTTACATCGGTCTGAGTCAGCCTGACATCACAAGAGCAGTCTTTCATGTCAGCAAGAACTATAAGATAAAATCAAACTTTGAAAGGAAGACATGCAAACACAATGAACAATTGAAAGAAAAACATGAAAACAAATCTGGTGGAAGCTCCAAACAGAAAGTGCAGCCAACATATGAATTATATTTTTCTGTAGCAAAACATGTTATGGGACAACATCCAGGAGTATTTTTATAGAGGAGAGGGCATCTACTCAATTATCAGCTAGTCGTGATTGCAACTTCATGGCAAACAGATGACCTCATGGTTGCCCAGTTCTTGTGTTGACCAAGAAAAACATGTCCCCTGGTGGGAGCAATTGACACAGACTACGCTATCAGCAAAGTCAGTAGCACACACACACATTGAATGCATAAGGCAGCCATCAAAAAGTGGCACCATAAACAGTGCAACAATAGAAATGCAGTTCTTCATCGATGGAAACAGCAGTTGCAACAAATCAGTAGTTGCACACACAATTATTTGCATAAGGCACCACCAGTTCTGTGGTAACAGGCAACTCACAATTTTCTGTGTCTACAATTCACAACATAAACCACGTTGGTCAGAGACAATTCACAACTTAAACCACATTGGTCAGGGTCGAAAATCACTTCCAATGAAATCTGCAGCTTCTAGTGTTGCACCAAACACTCAACTTAGTAGCTGGGCGATGAAACTGTGTCCTTTCAGCCTACATATGGAGGAAGATGCAACATCCAACTATTGTTAGAAGCAACCCTTGCCACGACTTAAAAAAACACACAACAAAAACAGTAAACTAAATGCACATCCTCCATATTGACTGAACATCAACCCCTAATTAGGCACTTTCTACCACATGCTTTTAGAGTGGGGGCAGTGGATCCATTATCCTCCCGTTTCCTCCAAATGAGGCCCTGAACCCCACAGATGGGGAAGCCAACGCTATCTGAATGTCAGGTTCATAATGATGTACAACATTTAGCAGTGGACTGCACACACGTAAGACGCCACAACACACTCACACAACCAGACACAACACACGCACACAACCAGACAACACACACACAACCAGACACAACACTCACACACAACCAGACACAACACACACACAACCAGACACAACACACTCACACAACCAGACACAACACACACACACAACCAGACACAACACACACACACACAACCAGACACAACACTCACACACAACCAGACACAACACTCACACACAACCAGACACAACACTCACAACACTCACACACAACCAGACACAACACTCACACACAAGCAGACACAACACAAGCAGACACAACACTCACACACAAGCAGACACAACACAAGCAGACACAACACACGCACACAACCAGACACAACACACGCACACAACCAGACACAACACACGCACACAAGCAGACACAACACACGCACACAAGCAGACACAACACACACACACAACCAGACACAACACACTCACACACAACCAGACACAACACACTCACACACAACCAGACACAACACACTCACGCACAACCAGACACAACACACACGCACAACCAGACACAACACACACGCACAACCAGACACAACACACACGCACAACCAGACACCACACACACACAACCAGACACAACACTCACACACAACCAGACACAACACACTCACACACAACTAGACACAACACACACACACACAACCAGACACAACATACAACCAGACACAACACACTCACACAACCAGACACAACACACTCACACACAACCAGACACAACACACACACAACCAGACACAACACAAACACACAACCAGACACAACACAAACACACAACCAGACACAACACACACACAACACACACACACAACCAGACACAACACACACACAACCAGACAACACACACACAACCAGACACAACACACACACAACCAGACACAACACACACACAACCAGACACAACACACTCACACACAACCAGACACAACACACTCACACATAACCAGACACAACACACTCACACAACCAGAGCAATAAATCAAAGAACAATAAATAATATATGCAGGAATAAAACATCTCTTACAGACTACACCAGAAATGTTTGCTTACTTGTAGACAAAGAATGAAACAATTAAATTAAACAAAAGACAGTATTAGTAAGCATTTGCTCGTACAACTCACATTAACAACCAAAGTAAAATATATATGTCATTTTCTTCATTGCACTGAAATGGGAATGGGCAGATAAGTTTTCCTTTGACATCTCAAAATAATTTATGTTTCACCAGAT